CTGTTTTTTATTCTTTTTCCTAAGCCACATCCTTTCTTTGTGCTTAGCTGTGCAGTTTTAGTTGATTTCTTCTCTTTGTCCTGTAATTATGGAGAACTACTGGGTTAAATATTGATGGAGAGTTTGATATTAGGGGAAGAAGGAATAGAGAGTGTAGTAATGAGTCCCTAAGTTCCAGAAGTAAGCATTTTGTTAAAACATAGTTAAGGGAGAAAAAGCAAGTGATCATTAACGGTAAAAGATGTTACAGTTCTCTTCTGAGGTAAATATAGACCCCGACAAAAATACTTAATGTCAGTTCCATTATATAGGATCCTTGAAATTGTAATCTGTGACTAGGTTTCTTTTTTTCTCTGCTAAGTGGAATAAAAATGTTGGTTAATTTTCTTATATTACAAATGCATTGTTTATTGACAGTTTTATTTTGGGCTCAGTTTTTCAAGATTTGCTTAGACCAAATTAGATCTTGTTAGCCATCAGATAGACAGCAAGTACTTGCTTGATTGAAAGATAATTTTTATTTTTAAGGGTTTGAGATTGACTTTTGAATAATTCAGATCGCATGAGAAAGCCAGGAACAGCTCATTAAGAAGCAGAGACTTGCCAAGGAACCCTTAAGGTCTTAAGGAGCAGTCAGATGTTTTAAATTTTAGTAAAATTAGTTTTAATTTTGATAATGATAGCAGATGTGTGGCAAACAGCCAGGGTTTGAGCTTAAAACAAATGTCTAGGGATATTCGTGGATAGAATGTTTGGTTACTTATTGAAATCATAAAGATTCTACTCCAATGATGCAGTATGAGTTTATTAAAATGATAGCATGCAAATAAGTATTCATGTATGTGCTTGAACCAGTTAGTTGTTTGTGCTTCTTAACAGTATATATTTAGTACTATCTAGACAGTTGGTAGTGAGGAGAATATCCAAAAATAGTCATCTTATAGCAGCTCATTTTCTGTGATTTGGTTAAATGGCTTTGAACTGTGGAAAGGAAAAGATCTGTTTCTGAAACTGGTGACAAATTTCAGTTGTTCAGGCCCTAGGTGAGTGTGGAGAACATATCACTCCATCCCCTTTCCCTTTTTCTCTGCCCTACTGTTTCCCAAAGTAAACTTGTAGGGAGTATATACTGTAGATAAAGATGCTTTAGAAATTGTTTGCTTTGTAACTGGAGAAAATTTAAATCATAATCATTTAACTCTTCAATCTCACTGTTACAAGCAGCAAATTGAATAGAAGTGATTTTAAGCCACAGGTAGAGGCTTAACTTACTGTGCCACAGCACTGGCCCCATGAATAAATCTTTAAGAAAAAAAGCAAAAAAGAAAACCAGAATAAGCTCAGAGGGATAGAAGGTATGAGCTGTAAAAGAAATAATGAAGAGCAAGAATAAAATGTGTTGGTGAAAGTAACTATTGATAAAAATAATGAACTTTCACTTAAGATTAAATATTAAACCTTTAAGAATAATGAGATAGAAGGTTTTTGGAGGTCAAAAGTTTTTTTTTTCTTTTTTCAGTTTAAAAATTTATTTTTAGAAAGGCAGATAGAGAGAAGAGAGATTTTCCATCTATCGATTTGCCCCCAGATTCCCACAAAAGCTGGGGCTGAGCCAGGCCAGAACCAGGAGTCTGGAACTCAGTCTGGATCTCCCTTGTGGCTGTCAGGGCCCAAGCACTTGGGCCATCATCTTCTCCCTTCCAGGATATGCATTAGCAGGAAATTGGAATTGGAAATAGAGCTGAGACTAGAATTCAGGCACTCCAGTAAGGGATGTAGGCCTACTCCAAAAGAGTTTTTTTGTGGTGGTTGTTCCAGAGGAAGATGGAGTTACTAAATACTTTACAGATGGCTGGAAGGATTTATAGGAAAATATGTGAAATTAAATAATAGAAATGTAATATTAGAAATTCCAAACCTCCCATTAGGGTGTGGGTGGTAGGATGATATAGAAAATGTTATCAGTATAACAGATGGCAGGAAAGATGAAATAAAAATAAAAGGAAGGGAAAAGTACGATAAGTGAAAACAGTAGGATGGCACAAGGCCAAATTATGACAATCAGGGGTGGTTCCACATTACTGTAAATATATGGAAACATAGTTAATTTTTGTTTCATGGCATGTTTTCAGAAATTTCCCTCATGTTCTGGGACTGCTACTATCTCATCTGCTTGAAGACTTTTGTGATTATCTCCTTAATCTACTGTATGACAGTTTCTCCCTCTCCTCCATCATCCCCATATCCCCGTAAAATACAGTCAGTTTTTCCTGATCCCATTGTGCTCTCCAGCTCTTACAGAAAGTCCAGGTCCTGCTTCCAATTCATCTTCCAGTCTCTCTTCAGCCCTCTGCCTTTGTCCCTACTCTTCTGTTGAACCTGCTTCTGGGGCCAGCGTCGTGGCTTACTTGGTTAATCCTCTGCCTGCGGTGCTGGCATCCCACATGGGCGCCGGGTTCTAGTCCCGGTTGCTCCTCTTCTAGTCCAGCTCTCTGCTGTGGCCCGGTAGGGCAGTGGAAGATGGCCCAAGTGCTTGGGTGCCTGCACCCACATGGGAGACCTGGAGGAAGTACCTGGCTCCTGGCTTTGGATCGGTGTAGCTCCGGCCGTGGCGGCCATTTGGAGGGTGAACCAACGGAAGGAAGACCTTTCTGTCTCTCTCTCTCACTGTCTAACTCTATCTGTCAAAAAAAAACAAAAAACAAAAAACAAAAAACAAACAAACAAACAAAAAACCTGCTCCTGTTGAGCTCCAGTAGTTTCCATGTTGCTAATCTGGTTTTCGCTTCCATCCTCTTCTTTTTTCACCTAGGAAAAGTGCACTGATATTATTTTAGACGCAAAAGCAACATAGGACAATAGTTCAGAGCAGAGACTAATCAAAATAGCTTGAGTTTCAATCCTGCCATGGTTCCATGCTTAAAATACGGGCTATGTGATTTGAGGGAAGTTAGAGAAATCTTTCTGCTCCAGTCTCTTCATAGTAAGGAAATAATGGCTGTGTGATTTGGAGGGAAGTTAAGATACCCTCTCTGTGCCTCAGTTTCCTCACAAAGATGAAGACACCAGTACTTATCTCTCAGTGATTTTGTGAGTATTAAATGAAATAATACACATAAAGTACATAGGACAAGACATGGCATGTGTTAAATGCTTACTGAATTTTAGCTCTTACTGATGGACTTTGACATGTTATTTTATTTAATTGATGACATAAATATAAGGAAGGATGTTTTAACAGATTTTCACTATGAGAATTTGATACATATAGAAGAATATAATCATGTACAAATATATGTAAGTTAGAAAATAGAATAAAATTAATACCCTGGAATTTAGGGCTCAATCTGAGACCCGTCCCTTCGTGGTCATACCCTCACTCTCCTTTTGCCCCATGTGTCCATGTGACTGTCCCGAATTTTGTGTTTAAAGATTTAAAAAAGAGAGTCCCTTTACACATTAGTATATCACTGCTAGTTTAGTTTTGCTTGTTTTCGGACTTTGTTGTGATAATTTATTGTTTGTATTCTTTTGTGACTTAGTTTTTCATTAAATTTGGTTGCCAAGATTCTTCCTAAATATTGGTATAGTGTCTGGTTCAGTAATTGTCATGGAGAGAATTATAATACATACTATTCAGGGCAGTTGTGAATTAAATGAGTTGATGAGTTGTTAAGTGCTTAGAGTAGTGCTTGGCACACAGTAAGATCTCAAAGATAGCTGTTAGGTTTATTATTCACTGCTGTATGAAATGTTGTATGGCTAGGACATGGTTCCTGTATCTGGCCCCTTGCTGATGAACATTTGGGCTGTTTCCACCGTTGCTGTTCTGAGCATTTGTACCTCTGCCCTGTGCCCTCTTTCTACAAGCAGTGGAAGTATTGCTCTGTACCCTGGCCAACATTACATTTTGTCATATTTTCATTTTGCCTCATCTGATGGTTGTGAATAGCATTTTGTAGTTTCATTTGGATTCTGTGAACAATTTGTCAGACATCTTTTCATATTTTTATGATTGGTTATATTTCCTTTTCTGTGGAAGTTTTTCTTCTGCTTTTTTTTATGATATTTATCTTTGTTTTGGAAGAATTTTTTTTTTGGAAGAATTCTTTAAGTATTTTTGATAGTAATCCTTTGTTGATTTTGTTTGTTGGAAATATCTTCTTTGTATTTGAGGCTTTTGTTTTTTTTTCCCCTTTTTAATGGGATTCTTTGATGAACAGATGTTTTGAATTTTAATTTAGCAGCATTTATTCATTTTTTCTTGTGTGATTGATTATGTCTTGTTTAAGAAATCTTTCTGTACTGTAAAAATATTCTTCAGTGTCTACTATGAGTCTATAAAAGTGCTAACATATAAATGAATACTCTGCTTGGAATTGTTTTTTGTTTATGATTGGAGACAAATTCCAGTTCCTTTTATTTTATTTAATGGTTTTTTTGTTCTTTTTTGGAGGCTGGGGTGGGGTGAGGGGAAGTGGGTGGAGATTGCCTGGTTGTTCCAGGACCCTGGGACAGTTAATAATCTTCCTTTCTTTGCTAAGTATCTCTAGAACAGTTCTAAGTGGAAAAACTGTGTATACTTGTTTTTCCTTTATTGTAAAGGAATGCCTATAAACTTTCACCATTGAGTGCAATATTTGTTATGTTTGTTTTATCCTTTAAGGAAATTTTTTTGTCTTAGTTTTCTAAAAGGGCTTGTGATTTTCATCAAAAATTGAATTTGTTATATGCTTTGAATTTTGAATATTGGATTTGTTATATGTTTTTTCTTTAGATTCTGAAATGGTATTATAGTTTTTTCTTTAATCTATTAATGAGGGGGAATAAATAGCATTTGTTATGTTTACTCTTACTGTCTTAGGATACATCCAACACAGTCTGTTGATATTTTATCTGTCTTTACACATTGTTAGATCAAGTTGGTGAGCATTAATTAAGTTTATAGGTTAGTATGAAAGCAGCTATATAATGTAAATTTGTTTTAATAAACTTTACAGCAGAAAATATGGGCGCAGAACTCAAAGCTCCACTTAAAGAACCTCTCCAAGTAAGAGGTAAATATCCATTTTATACTATTTTTCATTATGTTGGTGTTTTGAATTAAATACATAATATTAGTATATAGGGAGCTCTTTTTAATTCTATTATTCTAAGGTATAATTCATTTTTACTTTTATTTAAGTAGATTGACCATAAAGATTTAGTCTACTTTCAGCATGGAAATATAACAGAAAACTATGAATTAATAGGTGGCAGAGTAGAATGTGAAATAAATAGATGATAGTTTGAAGCAGAACTTCTTGTTGTTTTGCTTTTGTTCTTCAGATGTTTGCTTAAGTTATTTTTTTATGTAATGTGACCAAAGCCTCACTTAATAATGATTTGTTAACATAGAGCAGTGTTCTATCATTTATAACTAGCAGACTCAAATTGATTACCAAGTTGCTATTTTGTTACTGTTGTCTCTGGCCTTTTTTTTTTTCAGTAATGACAGGCAGAGTGGACAGTGAGAGAGAGAGACAGAGAGAGAAAGGTCTTCCTTTGCCGTTGGTTCACCCTCCAATGGCCGCCGCTGCAGCCGGCGCACCGCGCTGATCCTGGCAGGAGCCAGGAGCCAGGTGCTTTTCCTGGTCTCCCATGGGGTGCAGGGCCCAAGCACCTGGGCCATCCTCCACTGCACTCCCTGGCCATAGCAGAGAGCTGGCCTGGAAGAGGGGCAACCGGGACAGAATCCGGCGCCCCAACCGGGACTAGAACCCGGTGTGCCGGCGCCGCAAGGTGGAGGATTAGCCTATTGAGCCACGGCGCCGGCTGTCTCTGGCCTTTTTATGGACAATATGATAGTTGATAACAGGAAAATGATTCAGTAGAAGGTAGTATTTTGCATGCATACCCTGTAATGTTTGACTGATAAAATTGTTTGTTAGTTTCAGTTTTGTTACATTTTGTGAATTAGTCTGAAACTTTAAAAAATTTTTATTGTAGTCCATTTAAATAATGCCTTATATACATTATTATATATAACCAAAACAAAAGTTTTCACAAAACAGTTCATATTCTTAATTATATATTATACTCTATTTTCTGTTTTTTTGTTTTGTTTTTTTTTTTTAAGATTTTATTTATTTATTTATTTGAGAGGTAGAGTTATAGACAGTGAGAGGGAGAGACAGAGAAAGGTCTTCCTTTTGTTGGTTCACTCCCCAAATGGCCGCAACGGCCAGAACTATGCCGATCCGAAGCCAGGAGCCAGGTAATTCTTCCTGGTCTCCCATGTGGGTGCAAGGGCCCAAGCATTTGGACCATCTTCTACTGCTTTCTCAGGCCGTAGCAGAGAACTGGATTGGAAGAGGAGCAGCCAGTACTAGAACCGGCGCCCATATGGGATGCCAGTACTGCAGGCGGAGGATTAACCTACTGCACCATGGCGCCGGCCCCACCTGTTTTCACTTTTTATAAAATACTGATTTCACCCCACAATGTGAAAAACACTAGACTAGCCTATAATATTTAATTAAAACTCCAGTTCATTTTTAGTTAGAGCCTAAGCAATTTAAATTATGTTAAGTTGATTTAGTCAGACTGAAAATACCTATACAAGGTAACCATTAGACAAAGGGTTGGCATTTTGTCATCAATATTAGATGAATTATGGACATAAAAGCTAGATGGGTACAAATATAATTCCACCCTGTTTTGTACTGGGATAATTCTTTTTTTTGGTATCATTCAATGCATCAGGAAAATGTTTAGTTTTTTAAATATAATTCATTAGTGCACTCACTAAAGTATCATCATATATATTCACCTTTTAGCGTGTATATTTATTTTCTTATGTTTTTTTGTTTAGTCAAAGCAGTCCTTAAGAAAAGGGAGTATGGATCTAAATATACTCAAAATAATTTCATCACGGGGGTCCGAGCGATAAATGAGTTCTGCCTGAAGTCCAGGTATAGTAATTTTTAAAAATGTAGTAGTGTATCTATCTAAATAATTCAGATAACCATTTTATTTCTTAATGTGTCACCTGCTGCCATTCATATGTGGACATTTACTGCTGATTTCTTTCTAAATTGAAGAAATGTTTTTATTCAGTCAAAAATGTTACAATTGTCAGGTGACTAAACTGAATTCTCCCTTAACCTGAGCAATTCTGTTCTTAGGGTCTTAAAAATCACAGTATCAAGTTCTCTGAAACTTCTGTATCATACAGAATCTTGAGCATTATATTGTTATACAGTGGCATTGCAGAGTTATCAGTAAGATTATTTGCATATCGTATATTTTACTTTTTAAAGTTTTTTAATAGCAAAGTTGAGTAATTTTGTGAATTATATTTATAAATATTCAAATTCCAAATATAGTTTCTAATGAGACTAAGTTATTTTACTTCTTTGTGGTATCTTTTGTCAATAATATTTTTATAGCCTTAAAGATTTATTGAATTTAATATTGCCATGAATTAAATTTTTCTCCCTCCTTTGTGGCTAGTTGGAGAAATCAGGTAATCTACTTCTTCCCCTGCCTCCTTTAAGATCACACCCACCATGGTGTAGTACCTAGAAATAAGTATTCCTATTACAACTTTTATGATTTTCATAATATTTAAAATAACAGTAAGAACACTGGTGTAAAACTATTCCATTTCACATTTAGTTCTTAAAAGAATTTTGTGGGGCCGGCGCTGTGGCGCACTTGGTTAATCCTCCGCCTGCGGCGCCAGCATCCCATATGGGCTCTGGATTCTGTCCCGGTTGCTCTTCTTCCAGACCAGCTCTCTGCTGTGGCCCGGGAAGGCAGTGGAGGATGGCCCAAGTGCTTGGGCCCTGCACCCGCATGGGAGACCAGGAGGAAGCACCTGGCTTCTGGCTTCAGATTGGCGCAGTGCCGGCCGTGGAGGCCATTTGGGGAGTGAACCAACGGAAGGAAGACCTTTCTCTCTGTCTCTCTCCTTCTACCTGTCAAATAAAAAAAATTAAAAAAAAAAAAAAAGAATTTTGTGAATTAAGTGGATCAGGTATTGCTGTCTGTATATTCTAGGCCAGGAAACAGATTAAAAGACATTAATGATTTGACTTAGTCCATTGAGCGAATCAGTGACAGAGAGGGAGCTAGTTTTACATAGCTTTTGATATTTTGTCCAAACTTTTTTTAAAAAATATTTCTTTATTTATTTGAGAGGCAGAGTTATAGACAGAGGGAGAGACACAGAGAGAGTTCTTCCATCTGCTGATTCACTCCCCCAAGTAAATGGCCGCAATGGCCAGAGCTGGGCTGATTCAAAGCCAAGAGCTATGAGCTTCTTCTGGGTTCCCCACATAGGTGCATGGGCCCAGGCACTTGGGCCGTCTTCCATTGCTTTCCTGGGTATTTTAGCAGGGAGCTGGATCAGAAGTGGAGTAGCCAGAACTTGAACCAGCGCCCACATGGGATGTTGATGCTGTAGGTGGAGGAGGCTTATCCTCCTATGCCACAGCACTGGCCTCTCACCTAAACTTTTTAATTTTTTTTTTTATTTGACAGATAGAGTTAGACAGTGAAAGAGAGAGAGAGAGAGAGAGAGAGAGACAGAGACAGAGACAGAAAAGGTCTTCCTTCCATTGGTTCACCCCCCAAATGGCCACCACGGCCGGAGCTACACCAATCCGAAGCCAGGAGCCAGGTACTTCTTCCTGGTCTCTGACATGGGTTCAGGTGCCCTAGCACTTGGGCCACTCTCCACCACCTTCCCGGGCCATAGCAGAGAGCTGGACTGGAAGAGGAGCAACAAGGACTAGAACCCGGTGCCCATATGGGATGCTGGCACTGCAGGCAGAGGATTAACCAAGTGAGCCACGGCACTGGCCCCTCATCTAAACTTTTTAACTGACATGTAATAGCTGTCAATTTCTTGAAAATATAGGTTTAATTTCTAGAATTTAATTGACATGTTATGGTCTCCAGATTTCTAATTTTTAATTTATTTTTAAAAGGCTATTTTAGGGGCTGGCACTGTGATGCATTAGCTTAGTCCTCCACCTGCAATGCCGGCATCCCATATGGGCACCGGGTTCTAGTCCCCGTTGCTCCTCTTCCAGTCCAGCTCTCTGCCGTGGCCCGGGAAAGCAGTGGAGGATGGCCCAAGTGCTTGGGTCCCTGCACCTGCATGGGAGACCAGGAGGAAGCGTATGATTTTATGTATTTATTTATTGAGAAGTAGAGTCTAGATAATATTTTTATGTAAAATGCCATCTTTGAATTGATCTTTAAAAGCTATACAGATCTGTATTCTTTTAAGATGAGACTCTACATAGTTGCTTTTATCTGCCCTTAGTAATCTTTTTAAGCTCACAAACCATATACACTTTGTTTGAATAAATTAAACATGTGTCTTTCTCCAGTGATCTAGAACAGCTTCGAAAAATCAGACGACGAAGTCCCCATGAAGATACCGAATCCTTTACTGTGTACTTGAGATCAGATGTGGAGGCAAAGTAAGAACATAGTCTTGTAGAATAAAAGTACAAACCAAATATAGGATTTATATGAATAAATTTTAGACAGATTCAGACTTTTTCAGATAGAATTGGCTTTTTTTTTTGAGAGTAGAGTGAAGTTTTATTTAAAAAAGAAGAAGAAAAAGACTCCAAACAAACAGAAGGGCTAGTAGTAAGAAAGACCAAGCCCAAGATAGAATATTTTAAAAACAATGTTTTTGTATTTGCAAATTTGTTTACCTGCGAGTTACCTGTAAACTAAACACATATTGTAATTTATAAGAAAATTTGCTGTTGAATTTACTCATATTTTTAGATTTGATTTAGAAAAGTTGCTCAAGTGCTCTATATTTTTCCAAAAGGGACTTATACTTTATTATAAAATTCTCATATATAGTTCATATGTAGATTTTGAATATGATTATGTTAAAGTCATTGAAAGTCTGCATTGCTGCTGACCACATGTGTATGCACAGATCTTTGGAAGTTTGGGGAAGCCCTGAAGCTCTTGCCAGAGAAAAAAAGCTACGTAAGGAAGCAGAAATAGAATATAGAGAACGTAAGTATATTCAATTTAAAATTTAGTTAATTGAGAAGTGACTCGTAGGTAAGAACTGTGCCTGTGGCAACTATGTACTCTGTGGTGCTTGCACACCTCTCAGCCTTGGCCCTGTTGGTTACAGCAAATACCAGTTCCTGTACTGGGATTCAGTTATTTCACAAAAGACTGGATGCTTTATTTTTTTCCCCGTAGCATTTTTTTTTTAAAGATGAGAGGAAGAGAAGCTACAGGTTGTAGTTTCTATAAGATATATGACTATTAAAACATATGAAAATGATAGAAGGGACAGTAACTGCTTTTTTACAGAAAAGTCTATTAATTCAGCTACCACTTTAACCTAATATGAACCATAAACTTTGCTTGGTGGTTTTGAGTCCTGGCTATTCTACTTCCCAGCCATAGATTTACTCTCCAAATGCCTACAATAGCTGGGGTGGACCAGACTGAAGCCAGGAGTCAGACACTTAATCTGGGTTTCCTGCATGGATACAGGGACCCAGATACTAACCCATCATCTGCTGTTTCTCTGGGTATGCATTAGCAAGAAACTAGAATTGAGGATAAAGCTTGGGACTTGAACCCAAAAACTTCAGTATGGGATGCAGGTTTCCCATGCAGTAGCTTAATCACTGTGCCAAATATCTGTACCTCTTGTGTTTTTAAAAATGAAGAATTTGGGACCAGCTTTGTGGTATAATGGATTAAGCTGTTGCCTTCAATGCTGGCATTCGATATGGGCACTGGTTCAAGTCCCAGCTGCTCCACTTCTAATCCAGCTCCTTCCTAATGTGTCTGGGAAAGCTGGGGGAGATGGCTCAGGTCCTTGGGCCCCTGCTATCCCTGTGGGAGACCTGGAAGATGCTCCTGGCTCCTGGCTTTGGTCTGTTCCTGCCCTGACCATTGTGGCCATTTGGGGTGTGAATCAGCAGATAGAAGATCTCTCTCTCTCTGTCTCTCTCCTTTTCCATCTCTCTGTCTCTGTAACTCTGCCTTTCAAATAAATAAAAGAAATTTAAAAAAAAATGAAAAATTTGTTTTCATAATGGGTTTAAATAACTCATTTTTTGTTAAAGATTTATTTATTTTTTTGAAAGTCAGAGTTACACAGAAAGAGGCAGGGAGAAAGAGAGAGGTCTTCCATCCTATGGTTCACTCCCCAGAGCCAGAAGCTTCTTCCAGTTTCCCACACAGGTGCGGGGCCCCAAGGATTTGGGCCATCTTCTACTGCTTTCCCAGGCCATGGCAGAGAGCTGGATCGGAAGTGGAGCAGCTGGGTCTTGAACCAGCACCCATATGGGATGCCAGTGCTTCAGGCCAGGGTGTTAACCCGCCGTGCCATAGCGCTGGCCCCAGTAACTCGTTTTTTGATAACTGATATTGAGAAAAGAATCTTACCAAATTGACTGTACCTCAGTGCAAGTCCAGATACCCCCACCTCCTTTTTTTATTTGATAAAAACTACATATAAGACAATTTACCATCTTAACTATTTTTTAATGTATAGTTCAAAAGTGTTAAGTATATTCACATTGTTGTGAAGTAGATTTTCAGAGCCTTTTTGTCTTGCAAAATTGAATCTATACCCATTAAATAACCACTGACTCTTTTCCCCTCACCTTAACCTCTGGCAACAACCATTTTGCTTTTTTTCTATGAATTTGAGTACTTCGGATAACTCCTAAGAAGAATCATCCATTATTTCACTGGATTATTTCACTTAGCAAATTATCTGCAAGATTATTGCATCTTGTAGCATGTGAGATAATTTCTTTCCTTTTTAAGGCCAGATAATATTCCATTGTTTGTATCTTCCACGTTTTCTTTATTCATTTATCCATCAGTGGATGTTTGGGTTGTTTCTCCTCTTGACTATCGTAATAGTGCTACTGTGAGCAAAGTGTGCAAATAACTCTTCAAGGCCCTATTTTCTATTCTTTTGGATACATGTGATTACTAGATTATATGGTAATTCCATTTTTAATGTTTTAAAGTATCTCCATCTTGTTTTGTATATTTTGTAAAATGATTGCACCATTTTATGTTCCTATAAACAATACACAAGGGTTCTTCACATCCTTGCCAACACTTGTTCTTTTTTGTTTTTAATGATTTGTTTATTTGAAAGATAGAGTTACAGAGAGGTAGAGGCAGAGAGAGAGAAAGAGAGAGAGGAGATGTCTTCCATCCACTGGGTTCACTTCCCAGATGGCTGCAATGGCCAGAGCTGTGCTGATTCAAAGCCAGGAGCCAGAAGCTTCTCCTGGGTCTCCCACACAGGTGCAGGGGCCCAAGGACTTGGACCATCTTCTGCTGCTTTCCCAGGCCATAGCAGATAGCTGGATCGGAAGTGGAATAGCCAGGACTTGAACCAGTGAAATATGGGAAACTGGCACTGCAAGCAACAGCTTTACCTGCTACACCACTGCATCCCCCCCCCCCCTTTTTTTTTTGACAGGCAGAGTGGACAGTGTGAGAGAGAGACAGAGAGAGAAAGGTCTTCCTTTTTGCCGTTGGTTCACCCTCCAATGGCCGCCGCTGCAGCCGGCGCACCGCGCTGATCCGATGGCAGGAGCCAGGATCCAGGTGCTTTTCCTGGTCTCCCATGGGGTGCAGGGCCCAAGCACCTGGGCCATCCTCCACTGCACTCCCTGGCCATAGCAGAGAGCTGGCCTGGAAGAGGGGCAACCGGGACAGAATCCGGCACCCCAACCGGGACTAGAACCCGGTGTGCCGGCGCCGCAAGGTGGAGGATTAGCCTATTGAGCCACGGCGCCGGCCTTCCCCCCCCCCCCCCCTTTTCTTAGTAGTAGCCACCCTAATGGTGTGAGGTAATACCTCATTGTGGTTTTTATTTGTATTTTTTGACAGTTATGATGTTAGGCATCTTTTCATGTGTTTCCTATTTGCATATCTTTGGAGAAATGTCTATTGAAATCCCTTGCCCATTCTTTAATGGGGTTGCAAGTCTATATTTCCTATAATTTGATATGATTGCTGGGAGCTAGCAGAGCATATTTAACTTGGTGTTTTAGGGCTGGGGCTGTGGCGTAGCGGGTAAAGCCGCCACCTGCAGTGCTGGCATCCCATATGGGTGCCGGTTCAAGTTTGGCTGCTCTACTTCCTATCCAGCTCTCTGCTATGGCCTGGGAAATCAATAGAAGATGGCCCAAGCCCTTGGGTCCCTGCACCCACGTGGGAGACCCGGAAGAAGCTCCAGGCTCCTGGCTTCGGATAGGCACAGCTCCGGCCATTGCGGCCAATTGGAGAGTGAACCAGTGGAATGGAAGACCTCTGTCTCTCTGCCTCTCCTCTCTGTGTAACTCTGACTTTCAAGTAAAATAAATAAATATTTGTTAAAAAATTAACATAGTATTTAAGAGAATAACTGTGTTAGTCTAAACTGTGACTAGTTAAGAATATGTATTAACTAAATTCATTTTGTAATTCTTATAGGGCTATTTAGAAACCAAAAAATATTAAGAGAATATCGAGATTTCTTGGGAAATACCAAGGTAAAGAAATCTTTATAATAAGTGTGTATGAATTTGACTACTGTAGAACCCTCATATATTAGTAAAATCTTGATATTAATCTATTATGAATTCTAGCATGTCTGTGATCTTAATTCGATTTTCTTGAGCACACTGGAATTTACTGAATTATAGTCTATTCATTTCTGATTTTCTTCAAATTTTAAAAATGGGAGTAAATTTTCTTTAAATTGTAACCATGTATGAACCTTAAGCATGTAGCCATAGATGAAGAAGACTTTATTTTCTAAAGTTTTAGTAGGATTTCTCACTCATGTATACCCTGAATTTTCTTTTTACTCTCTATTGCTACTTCTAACTCTGATTTAATATTCATGCTGCCAACTCTCTGCTTGTACCAATAAACTTTACACAGTTGTTTGAATTGTCTTTTCTTTATTATGTGATTGTACAAAATGAATAGACACTCAATATTGTTTGCTTTACTGAATTTACATAGTATACTCACTCTCCCACTATTTGAAATGTTACTGTAACATTATCCTCTCTCTTACCAAATTCTTAGAGCCTCACTATTCACTCCTTGGCTGTTGACATTGCTTCATACTCCATGCAAAAAATATATGTAAAGTAATTTGTAAAAATACATCATCTTTCATCATCAAACTTATTAACTTATTCACATGTATACCAGAATGCTCTGCTTTTCTTGTTACTAGAAGGAAGTTAATATCAGGACACATATAGAAAGTTTATCCTTATCATCTCACAACCTTTTCTCTCCTGATCTTTGTCTGGTTGGGCATTCATGATCACCACTCCACTGAAATGGCTCACCAGCACTTCCAACATGCTAAGCAAGCTATGTAGAGTTGCCTTTCCATCCATTTAAACTTGACTAGAAGGGCTCTTCTATTAAGAAGTTAATCCTGGCCGGTGCTGCGGCTCACTAGGCTAATCCTCCACCTGCGGCACCAGCACCTCGGGTTCTAGTCCCGGTTGGGGTACCGGTTCTTTCCCAGTTGCTGCTCTTCCAGTCCAGCTCTCTGCTGTGGCCCGGGAAGGCAGTGGAGGATGGCCCAAGTGCTTGGGCCCTGCACCCTCATGGGAGACCGGGAAGAAGCACCTGGCTCCTGGCTTCCGATCAGCGTGACAGCCTTTTGGGGGGTGAACCAATGGAAGGAAGACCTTTCTCTCTGTCTCTCTTCTAACTGTGCCTGTCCAAAAAAAAAAAAAAAAAAAAGAAGTTAATCCCAAAGTGAATGTTTGGGCTAGCAGTTAAGACACCCCATCCCACATCGATAGACCTAGATTTGATACTTGTCTCCAGCACTTGACAATACATACCCTGGGAGGCAGTGCTGTCTTATGCACTTTGCCTAGGTACAGAACCATGGGAGAACAGACTAGAGAATGAATACCAAATCCTAAAATAGAGATCTAAGGATTCTTTCTTTTTTATTTTTTTTTTTAACTTTTATTTAGTAAATATAAATTTCCAAAGGATTCTCTCTTAAACCTACTGTTTACCTACCTCATTAAACTTAGCCTATTAAGACCAGTAGAAGGAGAGGAAATCTTTGTGTAAGAGGCAGCAGTATGGAGGTGAAGGCTGAATCCTCTTCATGGAAATTAGAGAAGGTAGAAAGAAGTATTCAAGGGCCCACCACCTTGTGTTCCTCCTTCTTGGAACACCTTGTTCTCAGGGGGTGTGAGATAATCTTTTCTAGTTTTGAAACAAAACTCTTTGTTAATTCCTCCTCCTCTCTCTCCTTTGCAGAGGGTTCTCCTTTATTCAACCTCCAAGTATTAGAAATTAGTTACGGACCCTTTCTGTACTTCAAATCCATTAGCAAGTCTCATTGGTATTTTCTGTAAATAGATTCCTAGTGTGACTGCTTCTCTCCATGTACCTTATTGAAACCTTAGTCTAATCAGCTTCTATCTAGTGTACCCTTCTAACTGATCTCTCCACCTTTTGCTTTTTGTCTACATTGTAAACTGTACCTTTCAAAAACATAAATCAATCAGATGATGTCAGGTTTCTAATTAAAATCATCCAGTGCTTCTTTCTGACATTAGAATAAAATTCAAACTTCCTGGTATAGTCTACAAACTCTTGTAGGATATGGCTTCTTTCTACTTCTCTGTCCTCAGTTCCTTCCATTTTCCTTGCTCTCTATGCCTTAGCTTCAGGCTTGTCTTTGTCTTTTGTCCACACCAAGCTTCACTTGGTACATACTCTGCCTTAAACATTATTCCACACTCTTTTCTGTTTGCTTCCTTCTCATGATTAATCTCCCTGATTCTTCTGACTAAAATAAAAGTAACTCCTACCACGTCCTCTGTTCTCCACCACATTAGTGTCTCTCTTAGTGCTGTTTTATTTCCTTTATTGTTTATGGATGTATTCTTTGTCTTGTACTGGAGGGTAAAAACTATGCAGGTGGGGACCCTATCTTGTTTACTGTTGTACCCGCCCCAGCATCTAAAACAGTACCAGAAGGCTATATAGTACTTGTATTTTAAGTATTTCCTGAACAAAAGATGAAAAAATACTTTAATAGAAATGTAGGATGCAGTAGTAAATTTGTTGCATGGTGAGTATTTCTGTGTGGATGATCAAAAAATGCTGACATTTAGCCAGATATGAAAGAAGATTGATAAAAATTGGGTAGATTTTGGTGGAAGGTAGTAGCATTCCAGGGAGAGGAAAGAAAATCCATAAAGAAGTAGATATTCAAGAAACAACAAAAGAAAATTTAACTCGAGAAAAATATTTTCCCTGAATATGTTTCTCTGGTTGTTTTATTACCTTTGTTTTGATCACTTCTGCCAAACAAATGCATTATTTTTGTGTTTGGTTATTCATCTGCAGAGAGCAGTCAGGAGTTAAATAGAACAGCAAACTTGTTGGCTTTGGTTGTTCCTTTTTAAAAAGTGAATACGTTGCTCAAGAAATGAAAAAATTTTTGAGTATATAGATTTTGTTCGGTTCAATATGTTTTTATCATTTTATTAAAATGGTTTCTTAGGTAGCAGACTTGGATCCTTTTTAAAAGTATCAAGGTTGGCCAGCGCCGCAGCTCAATAGGCTAATCCTCCGCCTGCAGTGCTGGCACACCGGGTTCTAGTCCCGGTCGGGGCACCGGATTCTGTCCCGGTTGCCCCTCTTCCAGGCCAGCTCTCTGCTGTGGCCAGGGAGTGCAGTGGAGGATGGCCAAGTCCTTGGGCCCTGCACCCCATGGGAGACCAGGATAAGCACCTGGTTCCTGCCTTTGGATCAGTGCGGTGCACCGGCCACAGCATGCTGGCCATGGCGGCCATTGGAGGGTGAACCAATGGCAAAGGAAGACCTTTCTCTCTGTCTCTCTCTCTCACTATCCACTCTACCTGTAAAAAAAAAAAAAAAGTATCAAGGTCATGAATTACAAGGTAACAAAATAAAGTCTGGAAAATGATCCAAATGTGTTTTCAATTTCCATCTTCACACTTTTTAAAAGAAAATTTTGGAGAAAAATATTTCACTCAGTGAAATATTAGTTGTTCTGAGGTTTTGACAGAGGAGGAATTTTCGGGTTTGTCAGGGCTCCTGTTGTGGTGCTTTTCTGGGAAATTTTGGAAGATTCTTTTTTTGTTGTTTTTTACAGCCACGCTCTGGAACAGCATCAGTGTTCTTTAAGGGACCAGGAAAAGTGGTGATGGTTGCCATTTGCATGTAAGTACTGAAAAACAAGCCCTTTAAATGGCAGTGTGTTCTTTTTAATGTGTATATTCTTTGAATATGTAAGTTCATTACTTGGTAGCTCGCTCAGAGTTAGAAGTTTATATTGTTTTACAAGGAAGTTGAAAAAGTCTTCATTAGTTTTAATAAAAGGGGTGGGAGAGAAGTATGAGTCCATATAGACACCCGTGCTTGTGCTCTGTGTATTTTTAATGTAGTTTGGATCTAAGAATATTTGCTACCAGGGGCAGGTGTTCTGGCACAATGGGTTAGACCACCACCTGGAGCATCAGAAAGCTGTTCTGAGTCCCTGTGACTCCATTTCCTGTCTAGCTTCCTACTAATGTGTCTGGGGAGGCAGTGGATAATAACTCAAGTACTTGAGTTCCTGCCACCCAGAAGAGAGACCTGGATAGAGTTCCTGGCTCCTGGTTTTGGCCTGGTCCAGTCTTGCCTGTTGAATGAACCAGTATTTGAAAGAGTGTTCTCGCTCTCACTCTCTCTCTCTCTTTTTTTCCAAAAAAAGTTTTTAAGATTTTATTTTTTTAAAAATTTTATTTGAAAGAGTAACAGAGAGCGCGCACGAGAGAGATCTTCCATCTGCAGGTTCACTCCCCAAATGGCTGAAGCCAGGAGCCTGGAGAGTCTTCTGGTTCTCTCACATGGGTGCAGGGGTCCAAGCACTTGGGCCATCTTTTGCTGCATTCCTAAGGCATTAGCAGGGAGCTAGATCAGAAGTTACTTTGACCAAGGTTGTTTTTCAAGTAACTAAAACAGCTTGAGTTATAGCTACTGAAGAATATTTTTGTGCTTATTTTTCTCCCACTTACCCTGGAAGAACATAGTTGATATTGTACCTCTTTCATTTTCTTTCTGTTTTCTTGATTCCTATTGTTTTGTCTGTTATTTGTTTTGCTGATTAATATATTTTAAAATACAAGAAGGTATATATAGTTCAGGTATTTAGCTAGTGGTTAAGACACTGGTTATGGTATCCACATCCCAGTTAGACCTGGGTCCAATTCCTGGCTCTGGCTCCTGGTTCCAGCTTCCTACTAATGCAGACCCTGGGAGGCAGCAGTGATGACTTACATAATTGGGTTTCTCACCCATATGGGAGACTGGATTGCATTCTGGCTTCCTGTGCCTGCCTCAGCTGCTGTATTTGGGGAATGAACCAGTAGGTTGGAGCTTTGTCTCTGCCTCTCAAATAAGTAAAAATTTTAAGAAAACAGTATCTAAAAATGTGTCAGATACTGTGTTAGGATCTGGAAATATAAAATTCGATACATAATTCTTTAAGGATTAAAGGGTTACTAAGCTAGAGGAACGCACTTACAATAATGCAGACAAGGGAAGGATGATGATATATTAATTAGGATTGTGGTGGTACACTTCGAGAGACATGGACATGTTCCAGAAGTGTTTAGAAGGTATGGAAAAAGGTGGGCCCAGGTTTCTGACTTGGACAATTGGAAAGTTATTGTACCATTTAGTGAGAGAAGCATTGTAGAGAGGGAGCAGAGAAAATGATGAGTTCATGTTTGAGTTTGAGGTGTCTGTAGGCTCCCTGGTAGAGATGGCCATAAGGATTAGTTCTTTTGCCAGGAAAACAGAGGTAGTCATTACAGTTTCCCTTACCAGAGGAATATAAATAAACTGCTTAGCATGGTACCTGGTAGTAATATCTATTTAATAAGTCGATGTGTATTATTAACATATATCGATCTGAAACTCAGGAGGGTGACCTAAGATAGAGATTTAGTGTCAAGAATTATTAGTATATAGATGATAATTAAAGTCATTGAACAGTTAAGATCACTTAGGGAATGTGTATATACTATGAGAAAGAAAAAGCCTTTAGGAAAAAAGAAAATAGCCATACTACCCTGCTAAATGTAAGGACTGAGTAGAGGAAAAAAGTCCTGCAGAGGAGACAGGAGGAAAGCCACGAAGCCAAGGAAAGACGGGTTTGAAGGGAAAAAATGCAAATGCTTCTGAGAAGTTAAGGAAAATGCTTCATTGTTTCCAGGAATTTAAATGCAAGGAATGGTTGATAGTATTGGTAAGAACAATCTAAGAGGGTATTTGAAAGGGGGAAACATGAATTGAAGTCATCATACAGTGAGGAAGACTGAAACAGCAAGAATAGATATATTTTTCAAGACTGTCTGAAGTAGAGAGGCAGGGACAAGGGTAGTTGGAAGCAGTTGGAGATGTATAGATTCCCTGTGATAGGAGTCGTAGTAAAACATGGTAGTGACTAGTACAGTGCCTATGATAAATCGTCATTACTGTTGAAATCTGAGCAGCGAGCTTGCCCAGAGCCAACCATGTTTACTTCAGCATCTAGGTCTTCTAGGATGACCTGAGACTGCTTGCTCAGACTTTTGCCTTCACCCTGGCATCCGTCTGTGTGAGTAATAGACCCTCACTGAAGTCTCGCCTGTGACATTGTCCTGCTGCACAGTGTCAAGTGCAGATCCTCTCTTCCACCTAAAGTACAGAATTTCTCTTTTTAATTTTATTATGTCCAAATACAGAGCACCCTGTTTCCTCATTAGTTCTCAAATTGTACTTATGTAGTTTGCTTACATAAAGCATGCCTCTTCATTTGAGTTCTTAATGGCACCATAATCTTTGTACTTTACACTTTTGTTGCCTAAATTCAAGGTCTTTAAAGGTTAAGGATTCTTCTTAAATTACTTTCAACAGAATGTAGTATATAAGTCAATTAAATAAGCTTTTAGTGGAAATTTTTAATCCAAACCTATGCTTAATTATTTTCTTTTTCTCTCCTAGAAATGGATTAAACTGCTTCTTTAAGTTTCTTGCCTGGATTTATACGGGGTCAGCAAGTATGTTCTCAGAAGCTATACATTCATTATCTGATACTTGTAATCAGGTGAGGATAAAAGTATTTTTTCTAAATTTTTTTAAAGATTTATTTATTTATTTGAAGGGCAGAGTTACAGAGAGACAGAGGCAGAGGCAGAGAGAGAGAGAGAAAGAAAAAGAGAGAGAGAGAGAAAGGTTTTCCATCCACTGGTTCACTCCCCAAATGGCCACAATGCCTGGAACTGAGCTGATCCGAAGCCAGGAGTCAGGAGCTTCTTCTTGGTCTCCCATGTTGGTGCAGGGGCCCAAGGACTTGGACCATCTTCAGCTGCTTTCCCAGGCCGTAGCAGAGAGCTGGGTCGGAAGTGGAGCAGCTGGGATTCAAACTGGCGCCCATATGGAATGCTGGCACTGCAGGCGGCAGCTTTACCTGCTACAACACAGCACCGAGTTAAATAATTTTTAAACAGTTTTCTCTTAGGCTTTAGTCTAAAAGCTGATCTGCTTAAAAACAGTGATTGTTGTAGTTAGCTTGTCGAAAAGAATTGAACTTTACTTTTGAATGATAAAGTACTTTTAAGTATGATCAGATATTTTAAAGTAGGATATTAGTCTTTAGAACTTCCTATGATGGGGTGGGCAGTATATGCTTACTTTTTTTTCCTTTTTCTTTCTTTCTTTTTTTTTTTTTTTTTTTGACAGAGTTAGACAGTGAGAGAGAGAGAGAGAGAGAGAGAGAAAGGTCTTCCTTTCCGTTGGTTCACCCCCCAAATGGCCACTACAGCTGGTGCGCTGCGGCTGGCGTGCTGCAGCCGGCGCTGGGCCAATCCGAAGCCAGGAGCCAGGTGCTTCCTCCTGGTCTCCTATGTGGGTGCAGGGTCCAAGGACTAGGGCCATCCTCTACTGCACTCCTGGGCCACAGCAGAGAGCTGGCCTGGAAGAGGGGTAACCTGGACAGAAACCGGCGCCCCAACCGGGACTAGAACCCGGTGTGCCGTTGCCGCAGGTGGAGGATTAGCCTATTGAGCCGCGGCGCCGGCCTTGGAACAGATTTTTTATACGGGAAATTTATTTGTTTATTTGAAAGGCAGAGTAATGGGGGGGAGGGGGTGGGAAAAGAGGGGGAGAGAGAGAGATCTTCCATTTGCTGGTTCACTCCCCAAATGGCCACAACTGCCAGAGCTGGCCTATCTGAAGCCAGGAGCCAGGAGCTTCTTCCGGGTCTCCCACATGGGTGCAGGGGCCCAAGAACTTGGGCCATCTTCCACTGTTTTCCCAGATGCATTAGTAGGGAGCTGGATCGGGAGTAGCCAGCGCTGAACTGGTACCCATATGGGATGCCAGCGCTGCAGACAGTGGCTTTACCTGCTGTGCCACACCGCTGGCCCCAAGACTTTTAAATTGAGTAGAAATTTTGTCTTTAATATAACTTATTAATGATTACAAGAACAAGTAAATTTAATTTTTTGAATAAAGATATAAAATATTCATGTGATTAATGAAAATACTTCCATATTAAATTAGTAGTTTGAATTACTTTCCTTGAATTTGCAAATGAACTGAAATTTTTAAAAAATTAAAATACCTTTTAAATCCTCTTAGTCCCCAGTTGTGAATTCTAGAAACCTAAGCCTTCTTAAAGACTACAATACAAATTTGTACTTGGGTATCCTTTCCCAGTTTGAAGAGGTAGTGTATTAAAGGAATACTTTTTCGTGTTTACTTATTTATACTCCTGTTGTGTAGGAACAGGTTTAGAAGAACTTACAGTGAAAGACACAGATTAGGGTATTTAAGACAGCATTAAAATGATCAGGAACAAGAACAGTATTAACTAAAAATTAAACCTGGAAACTTATTTAACTCATTGGCAAATGGATTAAGACCCTCTGTAAAAGTAAGGAAAGAAGACAAATATTTGCCATTAGTACTAACAACCTTTCTCTGGAGTTGAATTTTTATATTAAATAACTTAGCAACAACTGTCTATATGATAATTTAGCAGTTGTCATATGGGGTGGGAGGAGAGGGGCTAGGGCGAGATATATAACACATAAGCTTGTTTTCCTGAAAGCTTATCTGAACATAGGAAAATGGAAATGCAGAAATATTTGGACATATGGGCAAGGAGATACACATACAGCTATTAATTTCTACGTTAGCTGTTATGTAAAACACTGAAGATAATTTTAAAGGTCTGTACCTTGAAATACTATTCAGGAATGTAAATGAATTTGATGGGTAACTAAACTGATGTGGAATAATAACCATGATAAATAAGGTACAAAAATCAAGTTGCAGAATATTATGTGTAGAACTTCTATTTTCAGCCGTGATGGCATAAGAGGGACTGAATTTAGTCTTTTGCTGGAAAACTAAACAAAATATATGAAACAATAGTTTTCCTTTTTTTTAAAGATTTATTTTATTTATTTGAAAGAGTTACACAGAGAGGTAGAGACAGAGAGAGAGTTCTTCCATCTGCTGATTCACTCCCCAGATGGCTGCAATGGCCTGAGCTGCGCCGATCTGAAGCCACGAGCCAGGAACCAGGAGCTTCTTCCGGGTCTCCCATGCAGGTGCAGGGGCCCAAGCACTTGGGCCATCCTCCACTGCTTTCCCAGGCCATAGCAGAGAGCTGGATCAAAAGAGGAACAGCTGGGACTTGAACCTGTGCCCATATGGGATGCCGGCGCTTCAGGCCAGGGCGTTAACCTGGTGCACCACAGCGCCGGCCCCAAAACAATAGTTTTCTAACATCAGACAGCGGCCCCAAAACAATAGTTTTCTAACATCAGACAGTGGCAGCATAAGACTATGGGGACTGAGAGATAGGAGTAACTATTTGAACTCTGATCTCACTGACTTCTGATCTGGAAGCACATTCTGGATTGTGGAGCAGAGTGGGAGCTGATTGAGTTGAGAAGACAAGTCAGAGTTCAGGAAGTCTTAACGGGCTAGATATTACAAGGCAGAGATCTATAGAAGAAGGAGCATGACAGACAGCAACTGTAGCTGTCTAGGTAGGAGTTTCCTTGCGTTGAGTCTTTGTTGAATGTTAAGTTACAGACTTATGGGCTGTGGTTATGAGTCGGAGCCAAGAACTTCCAGGGAGCAGTAAGCTCAGTAATTCTGAGAATCACAGCAGGCTGGATACATTCAAGTGGACACTGACTAAATCTTCATTGGTAAACTCATACCTTAGGTAAAGACCACTCCAACTCTGCTTCTCTCCTCGGAGGCATAAACATAGTGAGATTGGTGCTCTTGTACACCTTGGCCTGTGCTTTTGTTGTTCTGTACTGTACATCCTGTTCCTAACTGGCTTTTCTTCCCCCTTCTACTTCATGGTTTGTCTAAGAAGTTTTCCACGTCAGTGTAGAAAGCCCTATCCCAACCCTATTTTTCTAAGCTGCTATAGAACTAAATTGTGGTTTATCATTTTTTTGAGATTCCCCAGTGAGGTATTTTCAGATTACCTTCATGTTTTTGATCTTTATATACAATGATGTTTTGAACTTTGGATTCATCTTTATTTTTTAAGGTAAATATTAGAAATTAAAATAGCTGGGCCATTGGACAGGTTTGTGAGGTTATGCTACATGGAAAATGGAATTAAAATGTTTATTGTAGTTCAAAAACTATTGAAGCCATCAGTTTCTAAATATTAGCATTTTCCATGAACTTTTTGTACATGCCTCCCGGGTCTTTACCCATTGTCAGCTTGTGCTCTCCAGGTTGTTTTACTCTGTTGTACTCTTCATCTTGCTAATGGTTTACCTTTTTCTTCTCCATAGGGTTTACTAGCATTGGGCATCAGTAAGTCAGTACAGACACCAGATCCTTCACACCCGTAAGGACACTGCCTTTATTTTGTTTTCATTTGTTTTGGACATTTAAATGAAAGCAAATGTATTTTGGGAATTTCCTGCAAGTTTTGTGCTTGCAGTTTGGTAAAGATGTGATCATTTCTTCCACTGTCGAATCTAAAATGTGTCAAAGCAAATTCAAGGTATAATTTGGAAAAGGAATTTAAATTATTTTTATGCTTTGTAACATAGGACGGAGTCTTTGTCTTCTCCAATTTTGGTAATTAATAATAAAGCACATATTTTGATCTTTGAATTCTATTTTATTTTGGCACAAAGAAATATATTTCCTGATTTAGACCAATAGCTACTCAGTCTAAAGTTTTAGTGATAATGTCTATTAAATATGCACTTATTTTAATCTTACTGTTGTGATTTAGAAATAGTATTCTGGTATTACCTCAAAATTATTTATTTTTAAGATGAGTATTATTTTTAGAATTTTTTAAAATTTATTTCAAATATTTGATATTTTTTCTGTTGCATCTACTAAACCATGCAAAATATTTGAATTTCACAGGCATCATTTTTTTGACTGGCTTCAGTAATAGATTTCATGAATCTTTAATTTTTTTAAAGAGCAGAGTGACAGAAACACACATACACACGCACAGAGTGAGAGAGAGGGTGATCATCCATCTGCTAGCTTTTTCCCCAAATGGCTACAACAGCTAGGGTTGAGCCTGGCTGAAGCCGGAGCCAGGAACTCCAGCTGGGTTGCCTACATGGGTTGCAGGAACTCAAGATCTTGAGGCATTATCTGCTGCTTCCCAGGCATGTTAGAAGGGAGCTGGATCAGAAGCAGAGCAGTTGGGACTTGTACCGGCACTCCGTGGGATGTGGGCACAGCATCTGTCCCAAATTTGATGAATCTTAAGGCAAAAATGCACCTTTATTTTTTATAAAGAAGTCTATCTTGAGCTCTACACATGCCTTTCTCTACTTGAACGCAAGGTACTGCTGTTTTCTTATAAATAGTGGTATACCCTGAATACTCTTTAACTGTCAGTAAGTTAGTATAGAGCACAGTTCTCTAGTCTTTTTTTTTTAAGATTTCTTTTATTATTTATATGAATTACAGAGAGAGGTAGAGACAGAGAGAGAGGTCTTCCATCTGCTGGTTCACTCCTCAGTTGGCCACAAAGGCCAGAGCTGCACCAATCTGAAGCTAGGAGCCAGGAGTTTCTTCCAGGTCTCCCACGTGGGTGCAGGGGCCCAAAGACTTGGGCCATCTTGTACTGCTTTTATATACCAGTGATTTGAAAGCAGAGTAAAATTCTTAAAATTCATTTTTGAAGATTTCTTCTCAAGGTATTTTCAGTAATCTACTTTAGTGCTGCCCAATAGAATTTTCTGTCCTGATGGACATCTTTTATTTATTTATTTATTTTTTGACAGGCAGAGTGGACAGTGAGAGAGAGACAGAGAGAAAGGTCTTCCTTTGCCGTTGGTTCACCCTCCAATGGCTGCCACAGCTGGCGCACTGTGGCCGGCGCACCGTGCTAATCCGAAGCCAGGAGCTAGGTACTTATCCTGGTCTCCCATGGGGTGCAGGGCCCAAGCACTTGGGCCATCCTCCACTGCACTCCCAGGCCACAGCAGAGAGCTGGTGTGGAAGAGGGGCAATCGGGACAGAATCCGGCGCCCCGACCAGGACTAGAACCCGGTGTGCCGGCGCCGCAAGGCAGAGGATTAGCCTAGTGAGCCGCGGCGCCGGCATTTTTTTTTTTAACTTTTATTTAATAAATATAAAATTCCAAAGTACAACTTATGGATTACAATGGCTCCCCCCCTCCCCCATAACTTCCCTCCCATCTCCTGCTCCCTCTCCCATGATGGACATATTTTTTAAAAAAATTTTCTCAGCCGGCACCATGGCTCACTAGGCTAATCCTCCGCCTGTGGCGCCGGCACTCCAGGTTCTAGTCCCAGTTGGGGCACCGGTTCTATTCTGGTTGGTCCTCTTCCAGTCCAGCTCTCTGTTGTGGCCCGGGAAGGCAGTAGAGGATGGTCCAAGTGCTTGGGCTCCTACACCCTCGTGGGAGACTAGGAGAAAACACCTGGCTCCTGGCTTCGGATCGGTGCAGCGCGCCAGCCATAGCAGCCATTTGGGGGGTAGGGGTGAATCAACGGAAGGAAGACCTTTCTCTCTGTCTCTCTCTCACTGTCTAACTCTGCCTGTCAAAGCAATTTTTTTTTCTTTTTTGTCTTTTAGTTATTTGAGATACATAGAGCAGGAGAGCAAGAGAGAGAGAAGAAAAAGAGGGAGCACATGCAAGAGCAGAGAGAGAGAGAGAGAGATAGAGAACCAGCCTTCATGTCTGCCTCTTCATTCCCTAAATGCCCACAATGACTGAGGATAGGCTGGGGCTGAAGCAGTCCAAGTCTCCCATGTGGGGGATAGGAACTCAATTACTTGAGCTATTACTGTGGCTTCCCAGGGTCTACAGTGGCAGAAATCTGGTATCAGGAGCTGGGAATCAAACGTAGGGGTTCCAGTGAAGGATGTGAGCATCTTAACCATTAGGCTAAATGTCTGCTTCCTGGTGAAAATAATTTACATCTGGCCTGTGTGGTAGTCACTAACTGTATGCCATTATTAAGTGCTTGAAGTGTGGCCAGTGCTACTGATGAACTAAATTTGAAACTGCACATAATTTTAATGAATTGCCACATGTGGCTACTGAGTTAGTGAATTGCACAGTGCAAATCTACATAATTTAAATTTTCAAAAACAGCTTTTAAATCTGAAGGCATCTAAAATGAAACTAATGCCATTTAATTTAGATCTTAATTTTCTTTAAGTTAAATTCATATCCTATACTACTTTGGAGGTAAACTTTAGAGGAAAGTAATTTTTTCTTAATAAAACAGGGAGAAATTGTCACATCTGTAAACTGAGAATTCCCTATGGTAAGATTACATCTTTGCAAAAAATAATTTATAGAACAACTTTAAGAATTGTCATTTAAATTTGCATCTGCCAAAACGATGCCATACAGCTTGAGTTTAGAATAAATTTCCCAGGAAATAATCTTATGAATGAGTGATTTTTTTCTCTCCTTTAATATGTCACATGTTTGGACTTGCTAAATACTCAGTACTATATTGGTACTTACAGTAATACCAAATAATGCACCTAGTGACTAAAGATGTTTGAAAAAGAATTGAAATTTTAAAAATTAGTGCTGTGATGAAGCAGGTAAAGCCAGTGCCTGCAGTGCCAGCATCCTGTATGGGCACCAGTTCAAGTCCCAATTGCTCTGCTTCTCTATCAGCTCTCTGCTATGGCCTGGGAAAGCAGCGGAGGATGGCCCAAGTCCTTGGGCCCCTGCACCCACATGGGAGACCTGGAGGAAGCTTCTGGCTTCTGGCTCCTGGCTTCGAATTGGCCCAGCTTTGGCCGTTGTGACCATTTGGGGAGTGAGCCAGCAGATTGAAGACCTCTCTCTCTCTCTGCCTCTGCCTACTCTGCCTTTCAAATAAATAACTAAATCTTTAAAAAAAAACTATCCATGAATACACCCAGAAAATCAAAGGTAGTCGTAGTAATAGTAATATTTGACAGTTGCTGTTTGTCAAATTATTCTGATTCAGTAGTAAATTATATGTGCTAAGCCATTCAGTATCCAGCATCAAATTATAGGTATATAAATCATAGACTGGTTGCACAAAAGACCAAAATATTCAATTAGATGTTTCATTACAAGGCAATTTTAAATGTTATTTTATTCATTAAAATCTGAATGCATTTACAAGAGAATAATTTTACTGCATCTGCAGTACATAATACTATAACTCTGTTAAATAAAAAATAAGTATAAGGAAAGGGGAATAGAAAAGAATTAAATTATATTTTATGTAAAAATATATATATTTTTGAAAATCTTGTCACTTTTTCCCCACTTTATATGTTGCTTTTCTGATTAGAGTTGGGCACTTATATTTTACTTAAATATATAAGCTTATAACATCTTGATAATCTTTAGAATTTTTGTTTTTCATGGACCTATTTATATATTTTGAAAGGAAACCATTTGTATTTTTGCAAAGTATTTTTTTTCTTTTTCAGGTATGGATTTTCCAATATGCGCTACATTTCTTCACTGATTAGTGGTGTTGGTATTTTCATGATGGGAGCAGGATTATCTTGGTACCATGGAGTCATGGGATTGCTTCATCCTCAACCAATAGAATCTCTTTTATGGGTAATCCTTTCTTTTTATTTGCTGTTTTGAAGTAATGTGACATAGTAATTCAGTATAGCAGAATACCTTGGTCACGTTGGTGTTAAAGAACAAGAATAACATATACCTTTTTGACTGATACAGGGTTGTGTACCTGTAGTTGTGTTTTTTGAAACCTGATTGGAGGGGCTAGCACTGTGGCATAGTGGATAGAGCTGTCGCCTGCAGTGCCAGCATCCCATATGGGCGCCGGTTCAAGTCCTGGCTGCTCCACTTCCTATCCAGCTCTCTGCTATGGCCTGGGAAAGCAGTAGAAGATGGCCCAAGTGCTTGGGCCCTTGTACCCACGTGGGAGACCTGGAATAAGCTCCAGGATCCTGGCTTTAGATCGGCACATCTCTGGCCATTGCAGCCAATTGGGGAGTGAACCAGCAGATGGAAGACCTCTCTTTCTCTCTCTCTCTCTCTTCCTCTCTGTAACTCTGCCTTTCAAAATAAATAAATATGTTTTAAAAAAACCTGATTGGATGTGATCTAAATCCATATGACTCAGGGCTGTTTACCAAGAGGATTTCTGTAGGTACAATTATTAAGCCTCATCTCATTGATTAAGATCTTGGGCATTTCCATTGATTTCTCCCAGTCTTTGTTGAAGAACATGCCTCTGTTCACTTTCTCTTACAAGACTCATCTTGTATCTGTAATTAAAATATCCCATCTTGTGTAATAATAGTAAGTGAGAACCTTCAGGTAGGAATGAGAGGATTGTTACCCTCTGTATTGCCCAACCTGGGGCTTCTACCCTTTTACTTCCTAGACAGTGTCCAAGGTTGGAATAGGAAACAAGAGATGAAACTTTACTGACGGTGATGTTTTGCATGATTCCTCTGGCCTTTGTTTTAGGCTTTTTCTTTTTGTAAAGATTTTATTTATTTATTTGACAGGTAGAGTTACAGACAGTGAGAGAAAGAGAGAGAGGTCTTCCTTCCATTGGTTCACTCCCCAAATGGCTGCAACAGCCAGAGCTGCGCTGATCTGAAGCCAGGAGCCAGGAGCCAGGTGCCTCCTCCTGGTCTCCCATGCAGGCAGAGGCCCAAGCACTTGGGCCATCCTCCACTGCCCTCCTGGGCCACAGCAGAGAGCTGGACTGGAAGAGGAGCAACCGGGACTAGAACCAGCGCCCATATGGGATGCCGGCGCCGCAGGCGGAGGATTAACCTAGTGCACCACGGTGCTGGCCCCAGGCTGTCTTTTTCTTGTTGGAGATTAACTTCCATGGTTGCTCTGAGTTTGGCTCCCTTGACAAGCACAAATTGGTTACAGAGCAGCCCCTGTCAGCTTCTGCAACTCATGGTGTTGTTCCAGACACTGCTGACATTGCCTTAAATTGGGCAAGAATGCCTTTTGTGCAGTTGATCTCTTGCAAAAGACTTGTGCTCCAGATTCCATGTCAGGGCCCTATATGTTAAAACAGACATCTCTAACATATTTTCTGTGAGACTACATGTTTTCTCCCAAACACAGTCTTGTATCCTGCTGACACAGCTAATACCACACTTGTCTGGAGATTTATTACTCATGTGTGCATCAGACACAGTTTTCTGTGATTTCCAGACTGCAGGGGACACACATCAAACCCTCTGAGCAATCTCAGCTGCTCGATAGCTTTCACCACTGAAGTCTTCACTTCTGACCTCCTTAGCTTCAGCTTTTCCTATGTGGTTCAGTAGATGTGGAGTTAGGATGTGGTCTAGAGGGTAGAGGTCCCAGGCTGGTGTGTTCTGTGCAAGGCCTAATAATGGTATACTACCTTATTTTGGAATATGGGGATACTTATAACCTATTTTGTTCTCTATTTTGGGTTGAAGCCAGAACAAGACAGAATCAATCTCATTTTAATATCCTATTAGATCATATAAATGTATGTAATAACAAAAGCATTAAACTAGACTCATTTATATTTGTTATTGACTAGTTTCCTACAATTTTATTGACTAGTTTCTTACTGTAATACATTTCATGAAATTAAAATGGCCAAATATATTTTCTCGCTTCCAGGAAGGTTTAGCCACTTTCTAGATACCTCATTGTCCTAGCATTTATGTTTTTTCAAGGTTTGCTTGTTCCTTCCTTCCTTCCTCCCTCCCTCCCTCCCTCCCTCCCTCCCTCCCTCCCTCCCTCCCTCCCTCCCAGGGCTAAGCCAGGCTGAGGCCAGGAGCCTGGAACTTGCTCTGGGTCTCCCACACTGGTGGCAGGAGCCAAAAGCACCTGGGCTGTCTTCTGCTGCTTTCTCAGGCACAGAAGCAGGGAGCTGGATCAGAAGTGAAACAGCTACTACTCAAACTGGCGTTCTGATACAGGATGCTTAACCTGCTGCACCATAACTCCAGCCCTTCATCTAATTTGTATAACATTGTTTTAAAGGGGCAGAACATTCTCTGAAGTAGAGAATTTTCAGTTGTGTATAAGTTTTAAAACTCTAGAAAGTCTTGTGTCTTTTAATAACTCAGTGCGGTTTTGTAAGACCATGGCCCTTTGCTAATTGAATAATAGATTCAGTACGCCATAAACCAGCTTATGTTTATTAATTATTTTTGAATCCTTGGTTGATACCTGCTGTTTTCTTTCATTGAATGATAAATATGTCTTAAATCCTTTTGAGAAGGAGATGGAAAGATTAAAAAAAGAGTTACTGGGAAGTTTACCTACTATGTTAATTATGCTTTGTATTGAGTAAAAAGAGCCTGGAATTGAACTGGAGAGACTGCAGTCTAATTCTTACTCTGCTGTCATTCCTGTGTGCTAAGGGAAATTGCTTAACTTTGGAAGATATCAGTTTCATTTTCAGAATTATAAGAGTGTTAGACTAGGTTTCAGATTTTCACATCTCTACTTCAGAAAAGTGTGGGGCTGGGACTGGTGTCATGGCATAGCTGCTGCGCGCGACACCAGTGTCCCATCGAAGCACCAGTTCATGTCCCAGCTGCTCCACCCTGATTCAGCTCCTTCAATTTCACTAAAATTTTTGAACAATTTGTATGGCCAGGTTGATACCTGTATGTCTTAGACTGAAGCTTCTTTTGCCATCTTTATTTTTTTTTAAAGATTTATTTATTTTACTTGAAAGAGTTACACAGAGAGAGAAGGAGAGGCGCAGAGAGAGAGAGAGAGAGAGAGAGAGGTCTTCCATCTGCTGGCTCACTCCCCAATTGGCCGAAATGGCTGGAGCTACGCCAATCCAAAGCCAGGAGCCAGGAGCCTCTTCTGGGTCTCCCACACGGATACAGGGGCCCAAGCACTTGGGCCATCTTCTACTGCTTTCCCAGGCCATAGCAGAGAGCTGGATTGGAAGTGGAGCAGCCGGGATTCTAACAGGCCCATATGGGATGCTGGCACTGCAGGTGGCGGCTTTACCCACTATGCCACAGCGCCGGCCCTGCCATCTTTAATTAAAGAGTCTTGAGACAGCAAGAAAAGTAGTGCTACCAAAAAGCAAATATTGGTTACTATTTATAACTACTTTTCTCTCTGAATCAAGATTTGGTTGGTACTGACCATCCAGACAAAATCCAGAAGTTCCAGTATGGTTGTGGATCTTACTGCATTTGGTATGCACATCCTAGATTTCAAATGTTATGTTCATATCATATTGTTCTATCAAGATCCTGATCATCTAGCTTGGATTGGAATTTATGTTTGTGTTTTAGATATTACAAACCTTATGCATGAATAGCTGTGATTCTTAAATAATTTATGTTTCATTTTAATATTTATTTTCTAGGCATATTGTATTTTAGCAGGATCATTGGTATCTGAAGGAGGTAAGTTTCTCCTTATGTTTTAGTCCGTTATTACAGTCTGCTAAGTTCTGTTGATTAAAGAAAACTATGAAAATAGGAATCCAAGCTTTGTCTAGTTTTAGGGAGTAAAGCCTTTATGTAAGTACTGTGACTGTTGTAATGGATGGAGGCAAGGGAAAGTAATTTTTGTTCTTGGGAATCATATCATCTCAGAACATTTGAAATACAGTATAAAAATATAACTTTTTAAAATCAGATTTTTTTAAACTTTTATTTAATAAATATAAATTTCCAAAGTACAGCTTTTGGATTACAGTGGCTTTTTAAAATCGGGGTTTTTTAAACTTTTATTTAATAAATATAAATTTCCAAAGTACAGCTTTTGGATTACAGTGGCTTTTTCCCCCCATAACTTCCCTCCCACCTGCAACCCTCCCCTCTCCCGTTCCCTCTCCCATTCCATTCACATCAAGATTCATTTTCTTTCTTTCTTTCTTTTTTTTTTTTTTTTTTTTTGATAGGCAGAGTGAACAGTGAGAGAGACAGAAAGATCAAGATTCATTTTTCAATTATCTTTATATACAGGAGATCAATTTAGCATATATTAAGTAAAGATTTCAACAGTTTGCACCCACATAGAAACACAAAGTGTAAAATGCTGTTTGAGTACTAGTTATAGCATTAATTCACATTGAACAACACATTAAGGACAGAGATCCTACATGAGGAGTAAGTGCACAGTGACTCCTGTTGTTGACTTAACAATTGACACTCTTGTTTATGGCCTCAGTAATCACCCTAGGCTCTTGTCATGAGTCGCCAAGGCTATTGAAGCCTCTTGAGTTTGCCGACTCCGATCCTATTTTGACAAGGTCATAGTCAAAGTGGAAGTTCTCTCCTCCCTTCAGAGAAAGGTACCTCCTTCTTTGATGGCCCTGTTCTTTCCACTGGGATCTCACTTGCAGAGATCTTTCATTTAGGTGTTTGTTTTTTTTTGTTTGTTTGTTTGTTTTTGTTTTTGTTTTTTTTTTTTGCCAGAGTGTCTTGGCTTTCCATGCCTAATATGGGCTCTTCAGCACATATTAGGGCTCTTCAGCTCATATTAGGGCTCTTCATGCCAGATCATGGGCTCTTCAGCCAGATCCGAATGCCTTAAGGGCTGATTCTGAGGCCAGAGTGCTTTTTAGGACATCTGCCATTCAATGAGTCTGCTGTGTATCCCGGTTCCCATGTTGGATCGTTTTCTCCCTTTTTTATTCTATCAGTTAGTATTTGCAGACACTAGTCTTGTTTATGTGATCCCTTTGACTCTTAGTCCTATCATTATGTAAAATCAGGTTTTAGTAGTGTCAACCAGAAGCCTGTCTCTGTGATGTAAATATCTCAGTTTCTGAAACATACAGCTGTAGTAATAGAAAAGTACTTCAAAAAGTTCATGTTTATTATCATTTATTTGAAAGAGTTACAGAGAGGTAGAGACAGAGACAGAGTTCTTCCATCTGCTGTTTCACTCCCCAAATGGCCACAGTGGCTGGAGTTGAGCCTATCTGAAGCCAGGAGCCAGGAGCTTCCTTCGAGTCTCACATGTAGGTGTATGAGCACAAGCACTTGGGCCATCCTGTGCTGCTTTCCCAGGCACATTAGCAAGGAGCTGGATCAGAAGTGGAGCAGCTAGGAATCAAACTGGCGCCCATATGAGATCCTGGTGCTGCAGGCTTGGGCTTTAACCTGCTGTACCACAGCGCTGGCCCCCCTTCACTTGTTTTTAACAGTGTTTTCATTGACAAATCATAATTGTAAATGTTTATGGGGCCCTTCATCTTTGATAGTGTGTAAAGTCATAATAACACCTGTTTCAGGATTTTGGAAGGATCAAAAATGTTTGTGCTTGGGGTGGTACTGTCAAATAGTAGCTGCTTAATAAATTAAGGCTGTTGCTATAGTAATTATATTTATTATGGTTTAGAACTATATGATTCATTTTATTATGATGACTAATTGAGGTCTTGATAATACCTAGTTAATATAGAGCTTTTCCTTACTTTTAGTCTGGCATTAAAGTATTGTGCTTATTTATTTATCTTTTGAGATGCCATCTTTAAAATGTGGAGGCATGAAGTTTCTTCCTTGCTGATATGAATGTTTTTCTTTCAGCAACACTTCTTGTTGCTGTAAATGAACTTCGTAGAAGTGCTCGGGCCAAAGGAATGTCATTTTACAAGTATGGTATGTATTTTAGAAACTAGATGTTTATTTTACCTCCTTTATTTGCTTACAATTATCTAGTACTATTGCTTTGTTCCTAATAGTTGGGCATAAAATATATCCCTGTCTCTTCCCTATGTGGCTCTTATTGTATACATAAGGTCTTTCATACAGAGCAGTGTCGGGGTGGGCTTTGAGTTTAGCGGTTAAGACACAGATTAAGATGACCACACAATTACAACTGGAGGCTCCTGCCTCCAGTTTCCTGCTAACGCAGATCCCAGGAGGCAGCAGTTTTGGCGTAGGTAATTGGGTTCTTGGCACCCATGTGGGATACTTGGATTGAGCTCCTGGCTCCTAGCCATTGTGGGGATTTAGAGAGTGAGCCAGTAGGTGGAGACTGTCCTTTGTCTTTCTCTCTGTCTCTCTGCCACTCAAATAGATAGGTAATAATAATAAAAAGAGGGGTGCATGTCTGGCGTAGCAGTTAGGACACCACTTGAGATGCCCGCATCCCGGATTGGAGTACCTGGGTTTGAGTCTTGGCTTCAGTCTTAGTTCCAGCTTTCTGCTAATCTGCCTCCTGGGAAGCAACAGGTGATGGCTTAACTAGTTGGGTCTTTGTCACCCATATGGGAGATATAGGATTGCGTTCCTCGCTCCTGGATTTGTCCAATTGTGGGCATTTCAGGAATGAACAAGTGGATAGGAGTTCTCTTTGTCTTTCTGCCTTTCAAATAAAAAAAAAAAATGAGAGAGAACTGTAGTATAATTTGAACATAGATACTTTAAATTTGACCTAAATGAACTATCATATTTCAAAAATGCTTATATAACTTGAGAAAGTAATTGACTTTATGTATTATATATTACTGACATTTAAGACAAGAATTTATGTTTATGTTGAACAGCATTTTAAAAATCATGGTCTCTCATACAGTTTTTGTTAATTTATAGGTTGATTTTAAATGAAAACTTACTAAAATGTCACCTGATATTATCAAGTTAAGATTTCAGAAATTTTCTTTTCTGTCTCTCTCTTAATGATTAAGTAATGGAAAGTCGTGATCCTAGTACAAATGTTATATTATTGGAGGATACTGCAGCGGTCTTAGGTGTGACAATAGCAGCCACTTGCATGGGCCTTACTTCAATAACAGGTAAATATTTCTTAAATTGCAGGTGATTTGTTTGTACTACCTAAATACTTGATTTTAAACTGATTACAGACCTTCTAGTCAATGGTGCTTTTACAAGTGGGTCATTTTTTAACAGTTATTATAGATAAGTTAGTTTACTTTTTCGTGTTATATTTTGACTAAATATTAGTAAAGCTAGCATATAAGTTCAGATTTTTGGTGAAATTTATGTTTTGTCAGTTATTAAAAGAGCTTAGCATAATCTTAGCATTTCATCTTTGGAATAAAAAGGCATATTTGTAAAATTCATTATTAATGTTTATAATAATAATGTAATAATGTTTTTATAAATATTGCGTATGTATTCATAGATAATAAATCAGCCTTTTTCACTGGTTCTGGGAGAGAATTAAGCCCTACCAACCTAAAGCGGATGTTAGAAGGATCACTTACAGGGCTTGGGGAAACGCAGAACGCAGAGCCCCATCTCTAGAATTCAGAAGGTCCAGGATGAGTCCTGAGAATTTGAATTCTACTAAGTTTTCCAGTGATGCTGGTGCTGAACCACTTTGAGAACCTCCTTAAGGCACCCCTAGCATGCAGTGAATTAGCTCCTGTCCTTTGTCTCGAGGATGGTACTAGCTACATGTCATTCTTAGTTGAATGAGAAACAAATCACTGATATCATTTTCTGTAGGGCTTAATTCTCTTGCAGAATTTTAGTAAGAATAAGACAAAAATGGTTTAATTTTTTAAGCGTTTTATTTTGCAGTTATTTTGTCAGTCTGGGGTAAGAAAAGTACTACTGATATGTCTATAAGAAATGGACTCTATATTAGTAATATGTACATCATGTCTCTTATTTTCAAAAGCTCTGAATCATCACCCATGTAATGACCAGATGCAAGAAACAGGTCTTAAGGAACTAAGTCGTATAATTTTCCTGTGTATTATGAAGCTAGTGGTAGTAGCATCCCCCTTTTGTAGTATGGTAAAGCTAAAAGAGGTAACTAAAGGAATTAGGAAGGATTTTAAGTTCCTTTATTTACTAGCTGTAATTCATTGTTCTCAAAATTGCATTAAACTAATAGACTGTAATTTAATTTTTAATGTGCTTTATTCAGGCAATCCACTCTATGACAGCCTAGGCTCTCTGGGTGTGGGCACCTTATTAGGCGTGGTCTCAGCATTCCTCATCTACACTAACACAGAAGCCCTCTTAGGGCGATCCATCCAGCCAGAACAAGTACAACGGCTTACTGAACTCCTGGAGAACGACCCTTCAGTAAGGTCAGCCTTATTTCAATGATGCTTTTAAGGCTTACAAAAACATATTAAAAAAAAGAAATGCTTGGTTTGTAAATGCTTTCAGAGGAAGTTTTGGATTCCTAGCCTTTAGAAGTTTGCAAATCAGTTAACTCCTTCATGTGGAACCCCTATGCTTGTATTTTCCTTATATTTTTATTGCAATTTCAAGTGCATTGAATTTTACAAGATTTTTATTTGCGAAGAATGATCATCAAATTAAATATAAATTATACTTCTTTTGAAAATTGACCATTTCAGCTTATTTAAAAAATTTTTCCTTATAATTTTTTATTTTAAATTGTGTATGGCTGAAAAATTGAAGACTTAGAAAGAAGTCAGCAGAAGAACTATAGAGTTCTGATAGAGCTTTCCAGTATAATTGAGCAGCAGTGTGGTTTCATAATGACATGGAAGAACAAACCTTTAGATTCCTCATTTTCTGGTAGTTACGTACTCATATATATTTTCCAGACTTTAATAAGGTGTTTGTTTTAGTTTATTTCCTGTTGCTATAACAGAATCCTTGAGACTGAAAACTTTATAAAGAGGAGAGGTTTGACCGGTGCCGTGGCTCACTAGGCTAATCCTCCACCTGCAGTGCCGGCACTCCAGGTTCTAGTCCCAGTTGGGGCGCCAGTTCTGTCCCGGTTGCTCCTCTTCCAGTCCAGCTCTCTGCTGTGGCCCGGGAGTGCAGTGGAGGATGGCCCAAGTGCTTGGGCCCTGCACCCCATGGGAGACCAGGAGAAGCACCTGGCTCCTGGCTTCAGATCAGCACGGTGCGCCGGCCGCAGTGGCCATTGTGGGGTGAACCAATGGAAAAGGAAGACCTTTCTCTCTGTCTCTCTCTCTCACTGTCCACTCTGCCTGTCCAAAAAAAACAAAAAACAAAAAACAAAAAACAAAATAGGTTTGTTTAGCTCATGGCTCTGGAGACGAGAAGTTCAGGACAAGGAGGCTATATTTCACAACTCATGGAAAGCAAAAGGGCAACGTGTGGAAAAGATAAAACATGAGAAATAACCATGCTTCATCACATCTTCATCTTGTTAAGTCCCTGAAGAGTGAGAATTCTCATGGAGATTATGCCCCTTCAACTGAAACATCCTACTAGCCCTACCTCCCAGCACTGCTACACTAAGAATTAAACCTCCATAGAGTTTTGGAGGCAATAAGGCATATTCAAACCATAGCAGTATTTTTCTTGTATTTTATAATTAAAGTCATTAAGTTAAATCTTTTCAAAATGACCTGAATATCTAAATTGTAAAACATATTAGTTTCAGCTGGTACTTGGTACTGTGGCATAGCAAGTTAAAGCTTCTGCCTGTGACACCGGCATCCCATATGGGTGTTGGTTCATGTCCTGGCTGCTCCACTTCCCATCCAGCTTCCTGCTGAAGTACCTAGGAAAGCAGCAGAAGATGGCCTCATGTTGGGGACCCAGATGGAATTCCTGGCTCCTGGCTTTGGCCTAGCCCAGCCCCCAGTGGCCATTTGGGGAGTGAACCAGTGTATGAAAGATCTTAGTATCTCTTCCTCTCTCTCTGTAACTTTGCCTTTCAAATAAATAAATAACTTTTTTAAATTAGTGATTACTGAATTTGTATTCTATGCCCTTTATGTTTAATCTGGAAAATTAATCACCTTGTTGAATCAAAATTAGAAGTTGAACATTCCTAAAATCAATATTAGACTTAGTAACTTAATGTGAAATAATCCACATTAATATCCTTTCCTTGTAATATCAGTTTGTGGTTTTGGTATAAAGATAATATTGGTCTCATAAAATGTCTGGTTTTGGTATAAAGGTAATGTTGGCCTCATAAAGTGGTTTTGGTATAAAGGTAACATTGGGGGCCGGCGCCGCGGCTCACTAGGCTAATCCTCCGCCTTGCGGCGCCGGCACACCAGGTTCTAGTCCCGGTCGGGGCGCTGGATTCTGTCCCGGTTGCCCCTCTTCCAGGCCAGCTGTTTGCTGTGGCCTGGGAGTGCAATGGAGGATGGCCCAAGTGCTTGGGCCCTGCACCCCATGGGAGACCAGGATTAGTACCTGGCTCCTGCCATTGGATCAGCGCGGTGCGCCGGCTGCAGCACGCCGGCTGCGGCGGCCATTGGAGGGTGAACCAACGGCAAAGAAAGACCTTTTTTTCTGTCTGTCTCTCTCACTGCCCACTCTGCCTGTCAAATAAATAAATAAATAAATAAAGGTAATATTGGTCTCATAAAATAAGTTGGGAGATATTCTCTCCCTTTCTGTTTTTTAGAAGAGTTTGTAAAGAATTACTATACATTTCTCCTTTAAATGTTTGGTACATTACAGCAGTGAAGCCATCTGAACATGGGCTTTTCTATGTGGGTAGTTTTTTTATTACTCATTCCATTTTTCCTTTTTATGGATCTGTTATGAATCTGTTCAAGATTGTCTACTTAAATCAGTGTTAGTAGTTTTCTTTCTAAAAACTTGTCCAGTATTTCTAAATTATCTTTTTTTTATTAAGGTTCTCTTAGTAGACTGTGGTTTATGTCAGGAGGTATACAACTGTCTGTAGTATACCTTTGTAGTTCTTTGGGTTGGTAGTGGTGATGTCTCGTTTTTCATTTTTGATTTTATGAATTTGACAAGGTCTTTTCTTTTTCTCATGGTCTGTTTTGTTAGAGATTTGTCAATTTTGTTGATCATTTCAAAGAACCTTATTTTGGTTTAGTTTATTTTTTCTGTTTTCTTTCACATTGATTTCTGTTGTAATCTATAATTTTCTTCCTTCTACTTGTTTTAAGTTTAGTTTGTTGTTTTTCCAAATTCTTAAGATAATTGTTTAGATTTTAATTGGATATTTTTAATTTCTTTTTTAAAAATAGATGTGTCTATTTTAAGGCAGAGTGACAAAGTGACAAAGAGACAAAGAGAAAGGTCTTCCATCCCACTGATTTTCTCCACAAATGCTTACATTAGCCAGATCTAGGACAGGCTGAAGGGAGGATCCAGGAACTTCATCTGGATCTCCACTGTGGGTATCAGGGACCCAAGTACTTGGGCCATCATCCACTGCTTCTCAGGCACATTAGCAGGGAGCTGGATTGGAATGGGAGTAGCTGGGACTCAAACTGACACTGCAGTTTGGGAGGCAGGTACCTCAACTCTGGCTTAACTGTGCCTCAAGCCCACCCATGATGTTCTTTTTTAAATGCAGATATTTAAAGATATAAGTTTTCCTTTAAGCACTGCTTTCTCTGCATCCCATAAATTTTGGCATGTGGCATCTTTATGATCATCTCAAAGCATTTTGTAATTTCCTTTAAAATTTTGTTTATATTTTCGTTGACACATAATAATTGTCCATATTTATGGAATACAGTATGATTTTTGATATATGTATACAGTATATCATGATCACATCAAAGCAATTGGCATATTCATCACCTCATAGTTAGCATTTGTTTGTGTTGGGAACATTCAAATTCTCTACTAGCTATTTTGAAATATTCAGTTATTATCACCCTTTCTATGCTAAACAACATGAGAAGTTATTCTTCCTATCCAGTTACACACCATACCTGTTAAGCATGCTTCTACCATCCCTGTCATCTTCCACGGTTCCCAGCTTCTGGTAACTACACTGTACATTTTTGAGCTTCCACATGTAAGTGAGGGCATTCAAGATTTATCTTTCCGTGTTTCATTTATTTAACTTAACATAGTATCCTTTAAGCTTATCCTGTTTTTCTACCATGACAAGATTTCAGTTTTTATGGCTGATTAATATTCTATTATGTATAAATGTCACATTTTATTCATCTATTCCTCCATTGATGAATTTCTATGTTGGTTTTATAACTTGGTTATTGTAAATGGCGCTGCAGTAAACATGGGAGTGTAGGTATCTTCCACATACTGAGTTGCAATTTGATTTTTTTAAAAGATTTATTTTATTTATTTGAAAGAGTTACAAAGAGAGGTAGAGAGTCTCCCCAAATGACTGCAACAACCAGAGCTGAGCCAATCCGAAGGTAGGAACCAGGAGCTTCTTCTGGGTTTCCCATATGTGTACAGGGGCCCAAGGATTTGAACTATCTTCTGCTGCTTTCCCAGAAGCATTAGTGGAGAGCTGGATCAGAAGTGGCGCAGCTGGGACTCAAACCTGTATCCATATGGGATGCCGGTGCTGCAGGCTGGGGTTTTAACCCACTGTGCCACAGCACTGGCCCCTTGATTTTTTTATTTATTTATTTTTTTTTTTGGAATGTTTAGGAGCATGTTAATTTCTATGTGAGTTTCCCAGATTTCTTTATATTATTGATTTCTCATTTTATCCCATTGTGGTCAGAGGATATACTTTGTCTTATTTCTGCTATTTTAAATTTAGTGAGATTTGTTTTGTAGCCTAGAATATGGTCTGTCTTGGATAATATTCTTTGTGCACTTGACAAGAGTAAATATTCTGTCGTGTGGAGTGTTCTATAGATGTTTGGGAGATTTATTTGACTTACAGTGTCCAAGATTTTAAATTTCCTGTTGATCTTCTCAACCAATTGTTGTACCCATTATTCAAAGTAGGATATTGACGTCTTCAGCTAACTTTTGTTGAATTGTCTGGTTTTCTTTTCATTTCTATCAATGTTTTCACTTTATGTATTTTAGTATCCTGTTGTTTGATACATGTGTGTTTATAGTTTTGCATATATTATTTATAATTAAAATCTGAAAAAAAGCTATAAACTCAAAGATTGTGACAAATTTGAAATTTTCTAGAAAGTGAAGATCTGTAGATTAAGTTTTTAGAAAAATTAAGCTTTAGTAACCCAGAAAGCTCACATAGTTTTAAAAATATCATGTTAGCTACATATTCCTATTTGACAAATTAGTCTCAAATATAGTGGTTTAAATGTTAATCTTACAGTTTCTGTGAATCAGGAATCCACACACAGCTTATGTGAGTCCTCTGTTTTTTAAAAGATTGATCTATCTATCTATCTAATCTATCTGAAAGGCAGAGAGAGAGAGAGAGAGAGAGAGAGAGAGAGAGAGAAGTCTTCATCCCTGGTTCACTCCTCAAATGGCTCTATCAGCTCCAGGCCAAAGCCAGGAGCCAGGAATCTCCAGCCTGGTTTCCCACAAAGGTAGTAGGGACCCAAGTTCTTGAATCTTCTTCTGCTGCCTTCTCAGGAGCATTGTCAGGGAGCTGGATTGGAAAGCAGAGCAGCTAGGACTCAAACTGGCACTCTGATATGGGATGCCAGCATACAAGTGGCAGCTTAACCCAGTGTGCCTGAGTGCTGGCTTCAGCCCTCTGTTTCTCGTGGACTGTAATCGAGGTGTTGTCTGGGACCAGAGGCCTCTTCTCTGGAAGGAGGTGCTTCTAAGTTTATTTACCTCGTTGTTGACAGGTTCCAGTTTCTTGCCTCCTGTACCTGTCAAGCATGGAAGCTAGCTTTATCAAAGCATTCAAGCCGACGAGGCAGGAGGGATTGAGTGTGAACAAGACAGAAGCCACCGATTAGTCACCTGATGTGGGCAATGACTTCTCATCATGGTGCCATATTCTCGTGGTTAGAAGTGAGTCACTAGTCTAGCCCCCATGTCAGGAGAGGGCATCACACAGGCCACATCAGGGATTTATTACTGGGAGCCAACTCAGAAGCTGCGTGTCTCAGAGCATTTTTTGTCTGCAGTTAGTCATGTCTAAGGATATATGAAAGAAATGTATCAGAATATATTCACTAGCTGCTGCCTAAATATTAGCCAAATGATGACGTGTTAAGATTTTGTGAGGATTGAGATACATGTGGTTTTAACTTTAGCATATAAAACTATGAATATTAAATCACTAATTCCTATTCTACCATAGATAGTTGATTAAGATAGCTTCTTATGTGGGTAAAGGATTTTGGATTCAGATTAGTCAGATATTAGGATTGAATGTATTAAGAATAATACTTGGGGAGCCAGCACTGTGGCATAGCAGGTAAAGCCTCTGCCTATAGTGCTTTCATCCCATATGGGAGCCAGTTTGAGTCCTGGCTGCTCCACTTCTTTTCTGCTTTCCTTTTCCTTTTCCTTTTCCTTTCCCTTTCCCTTTCCCTTCCCCTTCCCCTTCCCCTTCCCCCTCCTCTCCTCTCCTTTCGTTCCTTCTTTCCTTCCTTCCGTATGTATGTATGTATGTATGTATTTGAAAGGCAAAGTTGCAGAGAGGCAGAGAGAGAGAGAGGTCTTCCATCTGCTGATTCATTCCCAAATGGCCTCAACAGCCAGAGCTGAGCCAAGCCAGGACCTTCTTCCAGGTCTCCCATGTGGGTGCAAGGACCCAAGGACTTGGGCCATCCTCTACTGCCTTCCCAGGCTATAGCAGAGAGATGGATCAGAAGTGTAGCAGCCAGTACTTAAACCGGCACCCATATGGGATGCTGGCACTGCAGGTGGTGGCTTTACCTGCTATGCCACAGTGCTGGCCCCTGCTCCACTTCTGATCTAGCTCTCTGCTATGGCCTGGGAAAGCAGAGAAGATGGCCCAAGTCCTTGGGCCTCCACACCCACATGGGAGACCTGGAAGAAGCTCCTGGCTCCTGGTTTTGGATTGCTGCAATTCCTGCCATTACAGCCAGTTGGAGAGTGAACCAGCTGATGGATGACCTCTCTCTATGCCTCTGCCTCTGCCTCTCTGTAACTCTGCCTTTCAAACAAATAAATAAATCAATTAAAAAAAAAAAAAAGGCAAGCTAGAGCTGTGGGATCGTGGGTAAAGCCACCTCCTGCAGTCCCGGCATCGTATATGGGGGGGATTTCGAGTTCCAGCTGCTCCACTTCCAATCCAGCTCTCTGCTATGGCTTGAGAAAGCAGTAGAAGGTGGCCCAAGTCCTTGGGCCCTTGCATCCACGTGGGGAGCCAGAAGAGGCTCCTGGCTCCTGGCTTTGATCGGCGGAGCTCTGGCCATTACGCCTAACTGGGGATTGAACCAGTGGATGGAAGACCTACCTCTCTCTGTCTACCTCTCCTCTCTCTTTGTAACTGCCTTTCAAATAAATAAACAAATCTTAAAAAAAAAAAAAAAAAATACTTGAGAGCTGGCGTTGTGGCATGGAGGATTAAGTAGCTGCCTATGACAGGCAAAGTGGCTGCTCCACTTCTGATCCAGCTCCCCTAGAAAGCAGCAAAAAATGGCCCAAGTGCTTGGGTTCCCATTTGGGAGATCTGGAAGAAACTCCTGATTCCTGGCTTCCTCCTGACCCAGCCTCGGCCATTGTGGCCATATGGGGAGCAAACCAGTGGATGGAAGAGCTCTCTCTCTGTCTCTCTCTGTCTCTCTCTGTCTCTCTCTCTCTCTCTCTCTGTGGAACTCTGCCTTTCAAATAATAAGTCTTAAAAAAATATACTTGGGTCTCATTCTTTCCCCCACCCGGTTCTCTACTTTCCTCAAGATTCAGAGTATTTTCTTAATTTCTTATGTATCCTCCTTTAAAGACAAGATAATGTCACCATTGAAAAGGGAGATTTCTCAACAGTTCCTTAGGGAATTGGTTGTTGGGGGCTAGGACAGGAAGGATGAAAAGCAGTTTCACCCAAGCATCTGCTTTCATCTAGGAGGCGAAGCAGTGTAGTAGAAAGGCATCTGCTCTCCTGAGTGTTGGCAGGGCCTGAGCAAATCACTGGTGTCCTTCTGGAACCGTGGATAATCTGAAGATGTCTGTCACCCTATCTACTTTGTTGAAGTTGTTCATTAAATGCCTGCCTTCTAGATGGTACCATATTAGGCCCTTCATATATGTGTTAGTTCATCATTCCTGACCTAATGCTCAAGTGGTAGTTATTACTACCTCGTTCTAATAGAGTACTTCACAGAGTTGTATGAATACTTTTAAAGAAACTAGTAAATATAAAAGCGACTCAAATACTCTAAGGCATTATTATAATGAAAGATTTTTTATAAGTGATATTTATGAAATTGGTAAATGGATATGGGGAAAATTTATGTGATAACAACATTTTAGAAAATCAGTTTACAGTTAAGGATTTTTTTTTTTAAGATTTATTTTATTTATTTGAAAGAGTTACAGAGAGAGGTAGAGGCAGAGAGAGAGGTCTTCTATCTGCTGGTTCACTCCCCAGATGGCCTCAATGGCCAGAGCTGCGCCGATCTGAAGCCAGGAGCCAGGAGCTTTTTTCAGGTCTCCCACGTGGGTGCAGGGACCCAAGGGCTTGGGCCATCTTCTGCTTCTATCCCAGGCCACAGCAGAGAGCTGGATCAGAAGTGGAGTAGCCGGGACCAGAACCAGCGCCCATATGGGATGCCGGCGCTTCAGGCCAGGGCTTTAACCCACTGCACCACAGCACCAGCCCCAATTAAGGATTTTTTAATATACAGGTTTATAATTCACATATATAAAATCACCATAAAACAATGTTTACCAAGTTTTCATGTTTGTGTACCATTAGGTAAAAAACTGCTAACTCCCCATGGGAGACCAGGAAAAGCACCTGGCTCCTGGCTCCTGCCAGGATCAGCGCGGTGCGCCGGCTGCAGCGGCGGCCATTGGAGGGTGAACCAGCGGCAAAGGAAGACCTTTCTCTCTCTGTCTCTCTCTCTCACTGTCCACTCTGCCTGTCAAAAAAAAAAAAAAAAAAACTGCTAACTGTTTGATGAGCCTTGGGAAATGATAAATGGCACTTGAGGGTGCACACTATGAAGCAGTGGTGGTCCATCTTCATCACTAGTGGGAGAGGGGAACTGCATCAAAGTGTCTGTGTATACATGACTTTGTGTGCATTATTTTGGTTGCAGGGCAATTCATGACGTGAAAGCCACAGATCTGGGATTAGGTAAAGTAAGATTTAAGGCAGAAGTGGATTTCGATGGACGAGTTGTTACAAGATCATATTTGGAAAAACAAGATTTTGACCAAATGCTACAAGTGAGTTTATGTATTTACATTTTCTTCTATAGCCAAGGATTAGAAAATTACTTTTTCAATAAATAAAAGTTTTTCTTTTACAGGTCTTAAAGTAACTTCCTCTTAACTTTGTAGGTCCTAAAATTTGAGAGTGAGTTGGAGGAAACAGCAGAGGGCAAACTTATTATTGAATTGTTTATGCTTGTTATGTGCCAGGTTCTTTATCTAGTTCATCTAATTTTTGTGTAATTCTGTGAAGTAAAGAAATAACATTTTCATTTTAACATGTCGCAATTGAGACACAGAGAGACAAGGCAACGTAGAGAAACCTGTCTCAAGTTGCAGGGCCAGATACATGGAGTCAGGTACAAAGTTAGAGATCTCTGACTCCAGCATCTATACTTTTCCAGTAAGAATACAATTGGGATTCACCTTCCACCCACAGTTTCACAATCTAAGGTTACAGTTCCTCATAGTCAACTGTGGTCTGAAAATACTAAATGGAAAATTTCAGAAATAAATGATTCATAAGTTTAAATTGCTGTTCTGAGCAGTATGCTGAAATCTCATGCAATCCTGACAGGGCTAAAGCATTGTTGCAGGTATTTAGGGTATAAACCAGTGGATGGAAGATGTCTCTGTTTCTCCCTTCTCTATCATTCTACCTTTCAAATAAATAAATAAATAAATAAATCTTTGAAAAATGTGTGTATGTAGTATCATATTGTATACTTTTTAAAAAAGATTTGTTTGAAAGGCAGAGTAATAGAGAAAGAGAAGGAGAGGGAGATATTTTTCTAGTTTGTTTCAACTGCTCTGCTTCCAATCCAGCTTCCTGCCAATGACCTTGGGAAAGCAGTAGATGATAGTCCAAGTATTTGGGCCTCTGCCACCCAAGTGAGAGATCAGGATGGAATTCCTGGCTGCTGGCTTTGGCTTGGCCCAACCCTAGGTCTTGTATAATGGGGAATGAACCATTCAGTAGATAGAAGATCTTTTTCTCTCTCTGTCTCTCTGTTACTCTGCCCTTCAAATAAGTTAAATATATAAATAATTACATAAGTAAATATTTACAAAAATAATTTTAAGAAGTGTTTTCTGTGGAAAAAAAAATTAACTTTGTTTTCTCCTTTTCTTTTCTATATAGGAAATTCAAGAAGTGAAAACTCCAGAAGAACTAGAGACCTTTATGCTTAAACATGGAGAGAACATTATTGACACCTTAGGAGCTGAAGTGGACAGACTTGAGAAGGAACTAAAAGTAAGATGGTTTCATAACAGTAACATGATGACAGTGGCAGCCATATTTGGAATACTTTGCATCAGATATACTAGGCATGGTTCTATAACATCATAAATTGAAATTTTGGGAAACATTGGTTCATGGACTTACATAGATCTTTCTAATAGTATTCTGGTAAAAACAAACAAAAAAAGCATTTTATGTGACATCATACTTCAGTATGATGCAGAAGGCGCTTTATGCATACTTCCCATTTTGTCCTGCATTTTTACAGGTTACTCAAGAGTTGAGTTTTAATAAAATTGATACATTTCACTACTTCAAGATGGATATTTTAAAATGATACTGGCTTTTTTTTTTAACTGTTGAATTTGTAGTAGTAAAGGGACCAATGACAGTCCGGTTTGGTGCCAGTTGGGTTGCACTTTACAAAGGTGCCAGCAGTTTTATCTACCATAACTTTTATGCCACTTGAGGACGTGTCAGCAGAGGAAGGGCAGTTAACAGCTTAGTGTTAGTTTGGAAATGTTTGTTAACTTAGAGTGCTCCAGAGAAGTTCTTGGGACCTCAACACTGTTTGGACCTTGAGAACCAGTGTTAGGTATAGGATAGGAGACAGCAGTTCTTTTCATACAAGGTAACATGAGAAAGAATCAAGTTTGCTCTTCTACTTGTTTTTATTTCCCTGACAAGGAAAATAATGAACTAAATCTTTATTCTGTACACTTTAATAGAAACAATAAGTCAGATGCCAGACTTAAGAATAATTAGCAGATTGTTCATTCTAAAATATATGTACACTTATCACAATCAACCTTGTTATTTTTGTTTAGCTAACTTTGTATTTTAATTAAATGATATTAAGTCATTAGCAGTGTTTTTAAATTATACAAGGGATCTTTAAGAAGTTCATAGAAAATGTGTACTATGTTTTAATTCCATTTTTCCATGAATTAAAAAATATTTATTTTTATTTTACTTGAAAAGCAGAAAAAGAGAATTTCTTCCATGCACTGGTTTATTCCCAAATAGCATGCAACAGCCAGGGCTGTGCCACGCCAAAGCCAGGAATCCAGCACTCAGAACTGGGTCTCCTATGTGGCTGGCAGGGACCCAAGTAGGTGAGCCATCATCTGCTGCCCCTCAGGGTGCATATTAAAAGGAAGTTGGATGGGAAGTGGAGCCAGAGTATGAACCAGGCACTCCAGTATAGGATGCGGGCATCCCAAGTAGAATCTCTCTCTCTCTCTCTTTTTTTTTTTAAAGACTTTTTATTTATTTGAAAGAGTTACAGAGAGAGGTCTTCCATCCATTGCTTCTTTCCCCAGTGTCCACAATGGCTGGAGCTCAGCTGATCTGAAGCCAGGAGCCAAGAGCTTCTTCCAGGTCTCCCATGTGGCTGCAGCAGCCCAAGGACTTGAGCCATCCTTCGCTGCCTTCACAGGCACATTAACAGGGAGCTGGATTGGAAGTAGAGCAGCCGGGACTCGAACTGGTGCCCACATGGGATACCAGCACTGCAGGCCGAGGCTTTAACTCACTGTGCCACAACACCAGCCCCCCAAGTAGAGTCTCAACTGCTGTGCCAAATGACCCCCATTCTATGAACTTTTTAAAGTGCCCCCTTTGAAGTCTTTGAAGCCAAGAAGCCAACTCTTTTTTTTTTTTACTTTTATTTAATGAATATAAATTTCCAAAGTACGACTTATGGATTACAATGGCTTCCCCCCCATACCGTCCCTCCCACCCACAACCCTCCCCTTTCCCACTCCCTCTCCCCTTCCATTCACATCAAGATTCATCTTCGATTATCTTAATATACAGAAGATCAGCCTAGTATACATTAAGTAAGGATTTCAACAGTTTGCTCCCACACAGAAACATAAAGTGAAAAATAATAGATGATTTTTTTAAATGATGATGAAATCAGATCAGACCTATTGTCATGTTTAATCCCAGTGAGAGTCAAGTTGGGAATTGATAATTTTTTTTTTTTTTACAGAAGATCAGTTTAGTATGCATTAAGTAAAGATTTCAACAGTTTGCACCCCCATAGAAACACAAAGTGAAATATATTGTTTGAGTACTCGTTATAGCATTAAATCTCAATGCACATCACATTAAGGACAGAGATCCTACATGAGGAGTAAGTGCACAGTGACTCCTGTTGTTGACTTTACCAATTGACACTCCTGTCTATGGCATCAGTAATCTCCCTATGCTCCAGTCATGAGTTTCCAAGGCTATGGAAGCCCTCTGAGTTCTCCGACTCTTATCTTGTTTAGACAAAAGATTATTTATTTATTTATTTGAAAGGCAGAGCAATGAAAGCAGAGGGAGAGAGACGGAGATTTTCCGTCTGCTAGTTCACTCCCCAAATGGCACAATAGGTAGGACTGAGCCAGGCTGAAGTCAGGAACCAGGTACGCCATTCATGTATTCCACGTGGATGGCAGGGGCCTATACACTTTGGCCACCATCTGCCACCTTCCCAGAGTGTGTCCAACAGGAAGCTGGATTGGAAGCAGAGCAGCCTGGACGTGAACCAGCTGGTGTCAGAAGAGGTGGCTTGATTTGCTGTGCCACAATGCCGGCCTACATTAAGCTAATTTAACACACACATTCAAGTAGAAACATCTCTGGCTAAGATAGTACAGCGTAATTAATCTTAAATGAAAGGAATGTTTTTCATAGTTGAGATGTCAAGCCAAAAGGGAATATATGAATATAAATCTTTCTAGTCATGAAAATAAGCTGATTTTCTTTTGAAAACTTTATACAGTGATGTATTCCCTCATTTTTAGTATTTCATGGTTGTGTTCTAAGTTTAAATTTTAATTATCATTGAATTTCTTTGAAAAACCATGCTCACTAATACTACTTTGTACCAATATAGCCATCTCTGTTGAGTAATACTATTGGGTATTAGAATGGATGGTATTTGTAGCATAAAATTCTAGAAGTTCCATAGTTCTATGTAAAGATGCTAATAATAGAGGCTAATTCAGAAATTCCCATGTTACAGAATGGGAATTATAAAATTATTACAAGACCTAAATATGTCTAGCATTCTTTGTGGGGCAGTGGGTTAACCCACTACCTGGAATGCCTGCGTACTCTCTCAGAGTGTTGGTTTCAATCCTGGCTGCTCTGCTTGTGATCCAGCTTTGCAGCAGGTGAGGCTGCAGTGCTTGGGCCCCTGCCACTCATGTGGGGATCCAGATTGAGTGCCAGGCTCCTGGCCTTGACCTGCCTATCTGTCTGTGTATCTGTTGCCTTACCTTTCAAATATATGAAAATAAATAAGTAAAACATTTTTTAAAAGACGTACTTATTTATTTGAAAGACAGAGCTACAGGGAGAGAAAGAGAGAGGGGGAGAGAATCAATCATCCATCTACTGGTTTATTCCCCAGATGACATCAACAGCCAGAGCTGGGCCAGGGTTATCCCAGGAGTCTGGAATTCTATCCTGGTCTCCCCATATGAATGGCAGTAGCCCTAACACTTGGGCCATCTTCCACTGCTTTCCCAGGCACATTAACAGGAGGCTGAATCGGAAATGGAGCAGCCAGAATACAAACCAGCACTCATACATGATGCTGTTGTTGCAGGTGGTGGCTTATCCTGCTGCTCACAATGCCAGTCTTTTTTTAAAAAAGATTAATTTATTTACTTGAAAGGCACAGGTATATGGAGAGAAGGAGAGAGAAAGAAAACAGAGATCTTCCATCTGCTGGTTCTCTCCCCAGATGGCCGCAACGGCAGGGGCTGGCCCAGGCCAAAGCCAGTAGCCTGGAGCTTCTTCCAGGTCTCCCATGTAGATGCAGGGGCCCAAGGGCTTGGGCTATCTTCTACTGCTTTCCTGGGCACATTAGCCTGGAGCTGGATCAGAAGTGAGGCAGCTGGGACTTAAAACCAGCACCCATATGGGATACTGGTCCTGCAGGTAGAGGCTTGACCTTCTATGCCACAGCACCAGCCCAAAGTAAAACACTTTTCAAAGCTCATCAAAAACAATTTTTGGGTCGGTGCTGCGGCTCACTAGGCTAATCCTCCACCTTGTGGCGCCGGCACACCGGGTTCTAGTCCCGGTTGGGGCGCTGGATTCTGTCCCGGTTGCCCCTCTTCCAGGCCAGCTCTCTGCTATGACCCAGGAGTGCAGTGGAGGATGGCCCAAGTGCTTGGGCCCTGCACCCCATGGGAGACCAGGAGAAGTACCTGGTTCCTGCCATCGGATCAGCACAGTGCGCCGGCCGCAGCACGCTGGCCGTGGCGGCCATTGGAGGGTGAACCAAGGGCAAAGGAAGACCTTTCTCTCTGTCTGTCTCACTGTCCACTCTGCCTGTCAAAAAAAAATTTTTTTTTGAACTGTTAATATTTTTCTTATCCTATCCTAGCAATGTACAGAGGCCCCCCTGTTGCTCTTTCAACTAATTATTGATTTTCAGTTTTATTTAAGTAGCAATTTCTTCTGTCACATGATATCTTCTTAGTACATTAATACTATTTCTTCTATTCATTTGTGTGGCTACTTTGTGTTGTGCATATATACTTTACAAATATGATTAGCTTTCTCTCTGAAAAGTTGATTTTATTTTATTTTTTTTAGATTTACTTACTTACTTGAAAGTCAGAGTTAAACAGAGAGAGGACAGGCAGAAAGAGAGAGAGGTCTTCCACCCACTGTTTCACTCCCCAACTGGCCACAATGGCCAGAGCTGTGCCAATCCGAAGCCAGGAGCCAGGATCTTCTTTCAGGTCTCCCACGTGGGTGCAGGGGCCCAAGGACTTGGACCATCTTCTACTGCTTTCCCAGGCCATAGCAGAGAGCTGGATCAGAAATGGAGGAGCTGAGACTCGAACTGGCGCCCACATGGGATACTGACACTGCAGGCGGCAGTATTACCTGCTAGCACCGGCCCCAAAAGTTGATTTTAAGAGTAGATTAGCTTTTTATGTTTTTTATTAGTATACATTATATATTGCATTTTAGATGGAATAACATTAAACTTTTCATGAACAGCTAGATTTTTCAAGTTATATTATGATAGGGAAGGATTGAATGAAGAGGAAAAATAAAATTCTGCCTAATTTCTATTTGGAGAAATATTTTTTTACTCCATATTGAATTTAAGTAGATGGCTTATGAAGACACAGCTAATGAAAAATTGAGAGCAAAAGTGTGCCTTCCATGTTTGGGGGTTCCTGGTTACTCTCACACTAGAATCTAAAAGAAAAACTTTAACAACAATAGTTATAAAAATCCCTGTGTACATTCAATAAAATGCTCTAGCTGGAGCCAAGATCTGTGTGCCTGGGAAAACAAAGGAAGATGGCCTTAGAGCTTGGGCCCCTGACACACACATGGGAGATCTGGATGGAGTTCTAGTTCCTGGCTCTGCCTGGCCCAGCCCTGGCTTGTAGACATTGGGGAGCAAATGAGCAGATGAAAAAATCTATCTCCCTCTCTCTGTAATTCTGCCTTTCCATTAAATATCTTTTTTTTTAAGATTTTATTTATTTATTTGAGAGAGAGAATTAGAGACAGTGAGAGGGAAAAACAGAGAGAAAGGTCTTCCATCCACTGGTTCACCCCCAAATGGCCACAACAGCGAGGGCAGGGCTAGACTGAAGCTAGGAGCCAGGAATTTCATTTCTGTCTCCCACGTGGGTACAGGGGCCCAAGCACTTGGACCATCTTCTGCTACTTTCCCAGGCCATAGCAGAGAGCTGGATTGGAAATGGAGCAGCTGGGGCTTCAACCAAAGCCCATATGGAATGCCAGTGTCACAAGTGGCAGCTTTACCCCCATGCCACGATGCTGGCCCTCATTTTTGTTTTTGAATTGGAGACCCTACCATGTATGATATTTAACAACCTGATTTCTGCCTGTCTTTCCTGCCCCCTTAGCAACTTCTGTGCTTAACAGACCATAGTGCGAGTGCATGTGCTCTGGGCACTCTGCCTGTGCCTGTGCCGTTTTTTCTGTGTAGCATTCTTCATTTTCTGTCTGGAAGACTCAGCACATTCAAACCCGCTGACATGCTGTGTGCTCGCTGGAGGCTCTCTGGGTCTCAGAGCAACAGGAACGATTGTCTTGTTTCCCTCCCCAGGGTTTAGTACACTCTAATAGGAGCTGGGGGTCTGGAGTCAGGCCTAGAATCTGTCCCGATTCCATCACTTACTTGCTGTGTGACTTTGGACAGGTTATTTTCTTTAAACTTGTTTTCTTGTATGTAAAATGGAAATAATAATGAGGATTTTAAAACAGACATGCATGTAAAGGCCCTTAGCACAGTACTTGACATAGTGCTAGGTACTCAGTGAGCGCTGTGGTTATTTTTAGCTAGAATATGTTAACTTACGGTGGTTATTGCCACACTTATTTCCCTGGCTAACCTGAGTCCCTCAGGGGCAGGAACAGAATCTTATTTATTAAACAGAGCTCCATTTTCTAGCACAGTGCCTGGCCCGAGACGGAATGGATTTATACTCAATTATATAAAATAAGTGGTTATTAATTTGCTGTTTCTGATTGTTTTGCCATGATTTTGTTTCTCCATGAAAAAGAGCACACTTCTGGTGCTTGGCAGCACTTGGCTCAACCTAAATCCTTCACACTTTTTGTATCTTAATGAACTTACAAGCACACCCAGGGAGGTGTGACCACTTTACTGTTTACCGTGTGTCTGTTCCCTTCCTGGCCTTTCCTTCTTGCATAGATATTCCTCTTGGCTATCATGCTGTAGTGAATATATTAATATTAATGTAGTTATGACTAATTCTTAATTCTTAATTTTGTTAATTTAATGTGAACAAATGTCTTCGGTGGTGCTACTGATCAAAAGGAATAAAAAGAAACAGTTTTGCTGCTAATGTGGTGGTGATTTTCTTTCCAGAAACGAAACCCCGAGGTTCGGCACGTGGATTTGGAGATACTGTAAACGTGGCGGAGTGAGGCACTTGGGCAGCTCGTTTTCCAGCGCTCTGCAGAGCCCGTTTCCGCCTCTTCCACGCTGACTGCAGCACACTCGGAAGCCGTTGTTTCTCCGAGGAAGGAAATACTTTGTGTGGAGAGCGACTGAGCAGGCCACAGAACCAGGACTGCTTCCTAACTTCTGTGAGACGCAGTACACGTTGGATCAGTCTGAAAATCATGATTTTGTGCTTCAGTCAGGAACGTTTTGGTACTTGCATCGTTGATAATTTCTCATGTTAGCCTGTCAGTCTGTGTTGTACCTTGCAATCATGTTTCCTTTCTTCACGCTGGTAAAAAGTAAGTGGCATCCCCAGGATTATGGCTCTCAGTTGTTTCCACTGAAGGTTTCACCCCATCGGAACCTGCCGGCCTTGAATATGCTGGCTGTGTCCTGCCATGTGGTTTTTAAACAGTCACTCTGCTTTCCTTATAAAATGTGTAAATTATTTTGACATACCTTGTGTCTTTGACTAGTGCTAGGAGGAACAGTATCCTAACCTGGTTATCCACAATGTTCATTCCAGAAATGATTTAGTTACTGAACTGAATGAAGACATTTCAGTATACTCTCTTAGGCCATACTTGTTATAATTTTGTAAATTTCCTTGTTTTTCTTTTGCTTCTTTTTCTTATTTGGTTTAATTTTTTTAATGTTAACAGGTATAAAATAATCCTAGGTGTTTCCATGGGCCAGTGTGATGACTTTTTTTTTTTGTTTAAACAAGTTGCAGTGCCATTTGTTTATTTACTGAGAGATAATGCATTTATAAGCATTTTAACACTCTGTAAAATGGACTAGAAGTATTTATAATTTTATAGACAGGATAGCATTTTATTTTAATTTATTTAAAATGAGGCACTACTTGTGTAAATCTCAACTGTGGGATATTTCTTGCTTTAAGGAGGAGAGAAGTAAACCTCTTACGCTGAAACTTGTGTCATGATTTTGTATAATACAGTCAATTGTGTGTCTGTGAGCTTCTTGCAGTTACACATGGGCATTTATCATAATATATTGGTATAATATATTATGTAACTAAATAGCTTTCTAATGACCATAAGCTATCAAGGTTTAAAAAAAAATGCAATTTAGTAATTGAAAGTTTAGTGGAAGACGACAGCTGTCTCCCCTGAAACGAGTCACGAGCACCTGAATGTATTCTGGGAGCGGTGAGCATGGCTCCCGAGAGTGGTGGCGGGAACTTCTCAGGGTGAGCTTTGCTTGCAGACCTAACTACCTTCGTGAGTCAGCATCTTCAGACTTACTGAGATGGGAGATTATTGTAATGCCGGAAACAAAAATAAATCTTTGACTAAAGGGTTTGTAATGGTAATTTTTGATCCAAAACTCATTTGCTAGAAAATTGAAAATTGCCTTAGTGTATTTTCTCCTTTTATGATTATAGAGCATTTTGGATGCTTTACATTTTAAATGATGTAACATTCCTGGTATATTTTGAAAATATAAAATTATTTTACAGATATACATACATGTATATAAAATATATTTGGTTCTTTATTTATTATAGTTTCAAATTCCCTGTTCCTACTTTTTTAGAAACTTCATTTTTCACCTGTAATGATTCACTCTATACTGTGGCTTCTTCCTCCTGGCCCTTCCCCATGTCATTTCATGTCATTGCCATATGAAAAATGATACCTGACAGCTGGGGACTCCTGCATGTGGCACCCACCCCCACCCCACACAGCCTTCCAGGGCCCTTGAATTCTAAGTAAACAGAAACAGAGCCAGAGTTTTGTTAAAGAAAGTGGTGCAGGGGCTGGCACTGTAGCTCACTTGGTTAATCCTCCTCCTGCGGCTGGCATCCCATATGGGCACCGGATTCTGTCCCGGTTGCTCCTCTTCCTGTCCAGCTCTCTGCTGTGGCCCGGGAAGGCAGTGGAGGATGGCCCAGGTGCTTGGGCCCTGTACCCGCATGGGAGACCAGGAGGAAGCACCTGGTTCCTGGCTTCGGATTGGTGCAGGGCGCTGGCCATAGCGGCCATTTGGGGAGTGAACCAATGGAAGGAAGACCTTTCTCTCTGTCTCTCTCTCTCACTGTCTATAACTCTACCTGTCAAATTAAAAAAAAAAAAAAAAAAAGTGGTGCAGAGCACACTTCACAGCAGAGCAGCCCGAGGTGTGGTTGGGTTCCTTGTTTCCATGGTCCAAGAATTGCATGTAGTATCTGGGAGGAATATTCATCTCATTGCTGGGAAAGAGGCAGCAACTTCCAGGAATTAGGGACCCACCTCTTTCCTCTCCATGGTGGTTTCCACAGGTTGTCATGCCGCCGAGGGGAGTGGTTTTTACTGTGCTAGTGCATTACAGTGAGGGTGTAATGAGGCTGGTGGTTGAGTAGTGGTTAATCTACATGCCATGTTGGATCAGTCTGATTTGAACCAATTTCTTTGCCCGAATCTTACATATATTTTTCAGTCCAATTCCAGGAGGGTGGAGCTGGGGCTTGCCACATATTATTTCAGAGGTACCAAATTGTACCGTTTCCTCTTAGTAAAATTATTCTGAAAAATCTCACATAGTTAGAAAAGGGTTAGCTAATTTTTAGAAATCTCAAAGCTGATACACAGAAATTATCTAAAATATCAGGATTTTTTTCCCTGAGAAACACGAATTCCTGACATTTCTTTGAATTTCCTAGTCTTAAGTTTGGATGAGGTCATACTATTCTTAAATAATAATCCAAAGCTGTATGTCACCATCTTCTTTCAGGTGTATTCTACTCCGCACTGATATTTTTAAAGTTTATTTACATCAATTTGACATAAAAGATTGAAACATATCTGGGAATTTTAGTATTTTTCTGGAATTTGGAAATATATATAATTTTTTTCTCATTTAAACTTGTCAAATTTTAATTAAGTTTTGCTCTGATGCATAACATTTGAGTACTTAAGCATATAAATCTTAATATAAAGTCTTTAAGATTTTATTTATTTGTAAGGTAGAGTTACAGAGAGAGAAGAAGAGACAGAGAGATGGAGATTTTCCATCCACTGGTTCACTCCACAGCTGGCTGCAATGGCTGCGGCTGGGCCAGGCTGAAGCCAGGAGCCAGGAGCCTGGAGCTTCTTCCTTGTTCTCCCACATGGGTGCCGGGACCCATGGGTTTTAGCCATCTGCTGCTGCTTTCTCAGGCATGTTAGCAGGGAAGTGGATTGGAAGTGGAGCAGCTGGGACTCAAACTGGCGCTCATATGAGATGTCAGCATTGCAGGTGGCAGCTTTACCTGCTACTCCACAACGCTAGCCCCAAAATGTTAATATTTTCAAAAACAGCTGTTTTCAAGGAAAATATTCTTTGTAGGAAAACAATTGCAAAAGTAATTTTGTACAGAGAACAGCAGTCAAGGATCCATGGAACTATCAGAGGTTGGTGTACCTGTTTTCAGCCTTGGCTGAGGGTGAATCATTGATAAACTAGTAACCTCCAGACTATATAAGGCCACCCAGTTTTTGACCAGTTTTAGGCCATGGGAAGATAAGAGATGGCCAATAGCGTCCCATTCCAGAAGTAGGTTCCTGAGCATATACTTGGGAACCTGTTAGTTAGGATCAAACTGGAGAATTTTGAAATTTTTTCAAAACCATGTAATTCCTACACATACCCCCCCACCACCACCACCACTTATACCAAATCACCTAAAATAACAGTGTCCCATGATGTGAGTCTTAGGGGCTGGCACTGAGTGTAGTAGGTTAAGCTGCTCCCTGTGATGCTGGTATCCAATACAGGCACTGTTTCAGATCCCGGCTGCTCCATTTTTGGTCCAGATCCCTGCTAATGGACCTGGGAAAACAGTGGAAAAGGGCCCAAATGCTTGGGCCCTTTGCCACCCACATGGGAGACTGGGAAGAAGCTCCTGGCTCCTGCCCAGCCCAGGCCATTGCAGCCATCTGAGGAGTGAACCAGCAGATGGAAGATCCTCTCTTTTTCTGTCCCTTCCTGTCACTGTAACTGCCTTTCAAATAAACAAAATAAATCTTTAAAAAAAAGAAGACTTGAGTTTTGAATACATGATAATACATGATTTTTGTGTTGCCTTAATTACCTCACAAATTTGGATAATTTCTTCTGCTAAAATTATACTGTCTAAAGAATGGCTTACGTTTGAAATCTGATAACTTCTTGAGGTCGAATGCCGGGAACTACAGAAAATTGCAAAGGCCTCTAGAATTTATATTACCTTCTTAGATTGCATTTGTCAAGCTTTGGCACCATTTCTTTTAAATGTGATGACCCCCAATTTGCCAAACTGTCAGGAGTCAGCGAAGCAAGGAATTGAAGGTAAAGTGTTGATTCAGAGATTGTCTCCCCTAAATCCCTCATCCCGGCTCTGAGATGGAACTTTGGAAGGCATTTAAGGAGAAGATTGGTCTGCCGGCCTGCATATTTGCATTTCTGTTTACTTCCTTCCCTAGACTGGCTTCTACGGAAAAAGAAAATTTTCATTTCGATTACATTGCATTTCACCTGTCTTCCTTCACTGGCAGATTAAGGTGGGCCTGGCCCCTCAGGGTGCTTTTTGTCCTCAGTAACTGTCATATGTAAATAACAGCGGCTCACTTAGGGGTTCTCCCCCCTACTAAGTGTTTATTTAATATGGATGCTGCCTTACCTTGCATGCTAAAAAACTGCATAATTTGATACGTTTTACCCTAAAAATCATTGTTTTCTAATGGAGTTTATTGTTCATTTAGTATCCTTGTCAGTCTGTAAGATTTTCACAGTTGTACAAAGCCAAACAATAATAACTCTTAATCATGTTATAATGTTTTGTTTAAAAGGAATTGTTAATACATTACTAGGGTGTCATGTATTTGTTAAAACATGGATCCAAAAAGTTACATCTCTTAGTGATAAGATAGGTATTGCCAGCACATTTTGAGAAAATTAATTACTTAAACGTTTTAATTATGCTATTCCCTTTGAATGTGTCTATGTAGTATATTCAGAGGAAAGATACAAAGCATGCAAACAGCCAAAGCTGCAATCTAGAACCAGTTTGCCCTGCAAGAACCCTAGAGGAATTCCAACTGTATTTTCTGTTTCTTGAGAAACAAAATCATATTCAAAGTAATTTGGTGTTTCAGAGGGTTTAGTTCCCTCCCTGAATTCAAAACCTTTGGAAAAGAGAAGCACTGGAGTTTAGAATTTGCATAGCAGTATGCAGAACTGTGTGTCTGTCAAGGCTTACAGATGGTTTAAGAGACTTAAAAAGTGAAGCATAATCTGTTTGTATTAGTCTAGCCATCACCAGGACAGTCTGGACTCTTTGTGCCAGTGCTTTTTTCCCACGTGTTAATGCATCAAATCCTCACAAAGAGCCAGTGCTGTAGGGACTGTTACTCACAGGTAAGGAAGCAGATACTGAGATACTCAGTGTAATACGCCTGAGGCCACTCGGCTGATAAGGCGCTGAGTCAGGATTTGAATTCACATAGTCTGACTTTCAACAAAGCCTTCTGCCGAGCGGGAGAGCCCAAGAGAAGCAACAGTGAACAGAAAGTGGAAGTTAAATAGTTCTTTTATTTTGATAAAATAAGTTAATTGGCCGGCACCACGGCTCACTAGGCTAATCCTCCACCTGCTGCACTGGTACTCCAGGTTCTAGTCCTGGTTGGGATGCCAGTTCTGTCCCGGTTGCCCCTCTTCCAGTCCAGCTCTCTGCTGTGGCCCGGGAGTGCAGTGGAGGATGGCCCAAGTGCTTGGGCCCTGCACCTGCATGGGAGACCAGGAAGAAGCACCTTGCTCCTGGCTTTGGATCGGCGCAGCCATTTGGGGGGTGAAGCAACGGAAGGAAGACCTTTCTGTCTCTCTCACTGTCTAAAAAAAATCTGCCTGTCAAAAAAAAAAAAAAAAGCTGATTACCACTTCCGCAGTCAAAACAGCTGGCTTGGGACAGGGCTGGTGCAGTGGGGTAGGGAGTAGGGCAGTGGATCTGATGGAAGCTGAGGCGTGGTCCGTGACTTCTGAGGTTTATTTTTAAGCATTACTCAAGGCCACCTGAGAACACCCAAACCCCAATGTTTAGTTCAGTTGTCAGGAGTCCCTGCTGTGAGCTGTGATGAAACTCAGCCCCTACCCTCTCAGGCCCCGTTGGCTCCCATAGCTTGCAGTTCCTCTGACTGTAGCAACCATGAACTTCAGAAATCAAGGGAGTGATTGGTTCAGGCTGGCTCTGCAAGAGCGTGAGACCGGAGCTCAGTTATCAGCACTATAGCTAACATCCTAATGCCGGACCCCACCTGGAGATGCTTCACAGGCTCCCCCGGCCACAATGAAAGTGACAGTCATCT